TGGGTGGTGAGCTGGAGGAAAGGGGGGGGAGGTTTAGTTTTTGGGGTTTGTTAAAAGGGAAGGGTGGGGGGTGATAGGGGTGTCGGGGTAGGGAGAGATATGGGGATGGGAACGGGGGAACTCACACGACTGGTGAGGGACTGGAGTGCGGATGTTTTCTGGATCAGAGAAGACTGCAGGGCGCGTAGGTCGTGGATGGCGCTTTCGATATTGCGGATTGGGGATGGCGCCTCTGCCGGTGCGTTGTCAAGGTCGAAGTAGGCGAGGTCGGTCTCTCTAAACCGATCCCAAGCCGAGATTGTACCCGCCAAGCCCTGGGTGAGTTGCTCGAGTATTCCCATCGCCTCGTCAGAGGCCCGTTGTGCGCGGCGGTTGTTGCCTTTCGTCGCCTGGTATGGGAGATTAGGAAAAAGGGGGGTGGTGTGACTCATCGTGTCTGGGACTCACATGGGCTTTCACATCCTTCAGAACCTGCCGCCCAGCATTCTCCCACTCCCCCTTCACCTCCAACACACAAGACTCCATCACTGTCAAGAAATACTCCCTCGCGTCCGGCACGGTGCTGTCAGCCATGTGGCGGCCGCAAGTCAGTGGATCCATGACAGCCCCTCCTTGCGTCGACTGGTAATACCGGACGTCATGCCTACTCTCACCGCCGTCGTGGTACGTGTCAAAGAAGCCGTACGCTGTCCAATGGCGGTTGTCGACACCCACGATCATGCATGAGATCTGGGCCTCATGGAGGTATGTTTGGGTGCCGCGGGATTGGTTCAGAAAGCCTACTTCTTTCGAGCCCCTCAGCGGCCCGTTGCTGCCATAGCGGGTGTCGAGTGACGGGCTGCTACCCTGCCTCCATGCAAAGAAAGGCAGGTGGAATGAGAGCTGAAAGCCCTGGTTTCCAGGCTAGTGGATTGTTAATGAGATGCAATATGTTCGGAGGACGGGGACCATACCTGGAGCTTTACATCCATGCCGGACTGGAATCCCACATGTCTGTACACGAAGTCTCTAAGGGGCAGGGTCTGCCGCTCAGAGGCCGTGGACGCAAGTGCCAGGGTGCTAGCGGGATCGAGGTTGGTGACATAGCTGACAAAGTTAGATCAGCACTATTCGAAGTGGGATCCGACGTGTTTCTTACACTGAGCGCTTCTTGTGAGGCAAATCGTCATCCTTCGCCTCGGTGTCAATCAGTTGAGGCACTGGCCTCTGGTTCTCGTATTAGCGCAGCCCATCGAACATGCATCATGAGTGACCTACCGCTGCCAAAGCTTCATAAAGCTGGCCTTGGTCAAGGAACCGCATGCCGTTCATGGAGGAATGGGGACTCGTCGGTGACGGCTCATCGAAGATGGCAACCGCTTCAGACCCGACATCCTGGCCAGTTGATAGGGCTTCAAAGTTCGCCGGCGCGCAAAAGTCCCGGATCTCGTCGTAGATGTACCGGATGGGTGGGCTGTCGGCGTCTTGCACAAAAGCGCGAATAATCCTCTCCGCTTTGCTCGTCTTATCATCCCCTTGCATTTCGGCCAACGTCAGACAGTACGGCATATTGTTGGCGGCATCGATTGCGCCATGATTATGCTCGAATGCCTTCGGCCAAAGAGACGGGGCGACATACGTCTCTCTCGCCTCTTTACCGGACCGCCTGCCCCTGTGGCTGCTTCGCCCCTCAGACCTCCCTGTGTCCGAGTCATCCTCGTCAGCCGACTGCTCCACGAAAGTATTCTCGAGCTCGTCCACATCCGACCCTAGCAATGCGCGGCGGAACTCGGAGATGTGGTTGCCGCCCGTGGTGTAGGCAATAAACGAGATGGCAGGTGACGATGGCAGAAGATCCCAGACTGCCAGCGGTAGCTCAAGAAGCAGCACCGTCCCGAAGCTGGGGAAGACGGCGGAAATCTGGATATTCTTGGCCCCCTCCGGAACGTCCAGCAGCCACTGCCTCCATTTCTCGGCGTCGATGTGTTGGTCTCGGAGACGGCAGGTAAGCAGGATCCCGGGTCCTTCCGTGATAATGTCGGTGTTGCCGGTCGGGGGGTTGAGCTGGATGAGAGATTCTTCGGATTGACTTTGGCTCCGAGGCGGAAGAGGGGTGAGGACGATCGTCTTGGGTTTCCTTGAGAGGAACGAATGGACGGGGGTTCGCCGACGGGGTCGTTCAAACATCGGCTGTCCGGTGCGGCGGTCCACCTGGACGATGGAGTAGGAGTCGTCGGTAAACGAGATGTTCGGTGTCCAGACTTGCAGTCGGTTGATGAGCCTTCTGTGAAGTTCGACCATGGAGAGCCAGTCGGTGGTGTGGGCGGCGTGGGCGAGCTCCTGAACAAGAGAGGCAGTAAACGAATCGTTGTCCCCTTCACTCTGGCTCACGTCGACACCCCCTGCTGCCAGAGTCTCAACTACTCCACTCCCGATAAATGTGTCCCTGGCTTCGTAGGCGTGGAGGCAGTCATGCAGGAGTAGGACATCGCAGTCAATCTCCCCGAGGAACGAGTGCAGAATAGATGACTGTACTGTGGGCGAGTCTCGGCTCCGGCTGGCCTTGTGTTAGTTCTGACAAAGGGGGAAGTATATTAAAAAGTCTTACTTAGCTGCCCATACGGGGCTACCACCGGGCTGCTCGCTTGCGCGGGCGTGCCCACCATAGTACAGGATAAGGAGATTCCCTTCCTGGCCGTGAGCATCGACCAAGTCGGCAACCTTCCGGGATACTTCAACGGCCGAACGCCTTGATGGGATCTTCCAATACTCGGTGTCGTAATGGTACAAACCCCTGAATACTGATTCCAGGTTTCTTACTTCGGTCTCGACGCCAAGATCATCCTTGTCCCAGGTCATGAGCAGGACCTTAACCTTCCTGTACCGTGTCGAAAAGCGGTCTGGCCATGCCGCCGAGACGGCGTCTGTGAGGTGTGATAGAAAGGATGAGAAGTCGGCCATGTGGAAACCCGCCGAAGAAGTGTCGTGTGTGGTGGTCTTGACGGAGGAGTCCATGATGAGACCTTGGGAGTGCGCTAATCGTACAAAGAGAGAACAGATAATTAGTGTACAGAAGACTAAAAACATGCTGAACGCATTTCGATGCTCTCGAACAGGTACCGATCATGCTTTGAGAGGTGGTGGCCATCCGTATATCAGGGACTTGACGCGGCCATGGCGCCCAATCATGCCTTGATGCCCCTGTTGACAGGAGGATCCAACATGGAGACGGCCATTGGGCAGAACAAATTCCGAGGCGAACTCTCGTTTGGTTTCTGAGGGTTGTTGGCACCAAAAAACTGCGACCCGCGCTTGTGTCAGTCTGATCCGGGCTGACGGGTGACGTGTCTCGACAAAAGAAGTCGGTTGGCTTGTGATGGCTTGGGCGAGCAAGGCGCCTCGTGTCAAGCCCCTACTGAACAGCTAAAAATTGACATTCTGCTCTGGGCGTCAGAGGTGATTGGGTAATGGAGGGCACCACCCCAGTTATCGTGGCGGGTGCATGGCCGCCGACCACTCATAACACGGCCCATTGGTGTCCGGGTTGGGCAATGAGCGACTCGATGGTTCTCGGAATCATCAAAGCCATACAGCTTACGCAGCCCGTCAAGCAAATGTGCCTAGTTGATGTGTTTGTCCTGGCTCGCTTATCGGCGTGCCCAGCGCAAACCAGGTACACGATCAGAAGAATGGAGCCCAACATTTCACGCTCACAAGGCGGCGGGGCTTGTTTGGCACAAACTGGGGGCGGAACGAACCGCTCTAGTGTAGTATACAAGACAGCATGCAACATAAGCGACCGGCCCGGGTTTCCTTGGAGTTTCCGTTTCTTGGCTGCTGGGCTCTATCCACCAAAAATTTCTCATGTATTTCAACATGCGACCAGATATGAGCTCGTTGAAGTGAAAACGGGCTCGATATGGAGTCCCCGGACCCTGATGACGTCTGCCGCGGCCCAGAAGCCTGGGGGGACAACGGCATCCTCATGCGATGATGTAACCTAGCGCGGGCGGCCGCGGCTAAAGGGTCTCATATTTGCCTTGGTATTGCACCTGTATGCGGGTGGGTCCCCGCTGTTTCAGACGGCACTTCGGGAGATCAACAGGCGGGTAACTTGAAGGGATGCGTGAGGAGGCGGTCTGGTAATTGGTGGGAAGTTGGGAACGCTTGGCTAGTGCCAGGTACCAGGCTCGAACATAGATGATCTCCATAGAGAGATACCAGGTTCGGCAGTCTCGGAGGAAGGATTGCTTCGCGGGTATAAAGTGTGGATAGGGGGCACCAGAAGCAGGGCCGTTTGTGGGGATCTTGCGTGTTCACGCGGAAAAGAAAGTTGGCCTTAGTTCAATCGAGAAGGGATGGGCGATATCAAATTATATAGTTAGGGCTGGGGGAATCCCTTGCAAGTGTCGCCGAGGAGTCACCTTTTCATCGCTCCAGTTTCTGTGACTCTCTCATCACTCCGGGGTAAGATGGGTTTGTCTTGGGGGGCGTTATTCGCTTTGTTGCTGGCCACCGGCGCAGTAGGCAACCCAGTCCTACGACCACGTCAAATATCATGGCCGGAACCGGTCCCGGCATCCTCGATCGGACCTCTTGACTGGTCTTCGATACAACCCCCGGCGTCACGACGGTCCGGCAGCAAATTCGCCTCCATCAAAGCTACCGCTGCAAACTCCCCTCCCTTGACCGTGGACTGGCGTAACCGCGATGGGCTCAACTACATCACCACGGCACAAGACCAAGGCATCTGCAACAGCTGCTGGGCGTTTGCCGCGGCAGCTCTGATCGAGTCCATGGTGCGCATCGAGCATGGGGTGTGGAGCAAGCGCAGCGAGGCCGACGTGCACGACGGGGTGGGGGCGTCATGCCCGAGCGTCGGCAACGCCGAGGAGACCCTTGCGTGGGTGGCCGGGCAAGGCCCGGAGTTTCTCAAGGACCCGACAAAACCGCGGCCGGGCATCGCTGACTGGCCGTGCGACCCCTACGAGGCGACGCTGCATGCTTACGAGCACTGTGCGGACCGAAACGGGAGGACGACGCACATTCCGTATTTCCAGTCGCTGGGAATGATTGAGGACCAGAAGAGATGGCTGGATGAGTACGGGCCGCTGATCGTTACGTTTATCCTTTACAAGGACTTCGGATCATGGAAGCCGACAAGCGAAGGCAGCGTGTACAAGTGGGATGGGGTATCCGAATCCACCGGCAACCATCTGACAATTGTCGTGGGGTATGATGATGATAAGCAGGCATGGATCATGAAAAATTCATGGGGACCGAGCTGGGGCGAGAGCGGATTTGTTTACTTTGCGTGAGTTACCCCTGAGTCGAGGTTGCTTGACTTTAACGACTACTAGATGGGTGCTAACGTCATGCTTAGTTACGACCAAGCCAACATTGACAACTGGACCAAATACGGCGTTGCCAATGTTAACCCGGATCCGTGGACTCGCAGGCGGCACCAGAGCGGAAGCATGCTTCAGTCGGGCAACGGCGACACGCACCGGAACTTCGAGCTTCTCGTGAGCGAGCCCACCGGATCGGGCTTTGCTCATGTTTCGCGCGATAGCAACACCACGAAATGGAGCAAGGTCTCCAAGATTGAGGGGAGCGGCCTCAATGGTCAGCCAGCAATCCTCGGGACTTCCTTCAACCGGGATTTCCATGCGGCCGGCGTCAACAAGGATCAGACTTTGCGGCAGTGGGCGTACAGCCAATCGGCAAAGAAATGGTCCTCTGTTTCGACGATTGAAGGCAAGGGCATTGATGGGTTCCCCGGTCTGGCCCAGAGTGATGGCACCCACTTGGTCATGGTTGTCAAGCATGCCGATGGAACTTTGAACGAAGTAAGCCCCGTCTGCTTTCATGACTCCAGAGTCAAATACTAACAATGCAAGTGGCAACAACCCCCAAACAGTACCACCTGGACCCTTGCCAACTCCCCTATCGCGAGCGACGTTGCTCAGAGCGGACCCTCCCTCGTCCAATCTAACGTTGCCCTCAACATCTACGACCCCCAAACCATCTCGCGTGGAAACCTTTACACCGTGGCCACCCGCGCCGACGGCAAGCTGCAACTGTTCTGGCGCGGTGGCGAGGACACTGGAAAGTGGTCAGCTAGTGAAGTGTTTGGTACGGGCATCCCGCTGGACACGCCCCCGGTTATGATTCAGGACTACTTCAACACAGCCAACGAGCAGAGCATAGGCGGTTTCCAGCTTGCCGTTGCCGTCGACGGAAGCGTACAGCACTGGGAAAGGCTAAACGGCGATCTTGACCGGGAACCGCCGGTGGAGGGTGAGCAGGGGAAATGGAAATTGACCGAGACCGTTGGGTCAGGGGTGAAACATGTCTGGGCGTTGGTCCATGGGAGCCACAACCACAAGATTCATATGGTGACAGAGGGGGAGGATGGGCGGTTATCTTACTGGGAAAGGGATGGCAAGTGGGTCGAGGTTGAGAAGTTACCCGCGTTGAGTGATGAAAGCTGGCCTACGTCAGACCCAGTAACTGGTGGCTAAGTTGGGGGCGGGTAGGGGGATGGGGAATATAGGGGCGGGAAACAACCTCCCTGGGGGATATCCCCCTTTATATATGATGTTAGAAAGGCGATTACGTTTTAATCCAATCCCCAAGGGTACAAAAGTAGCGCCGTTCTATGGATTGCGAGAATGACGTCCCCTCACTTTCGTAAATGAATTCATCTCTCTCTCCATTTTCACAATGTTTCTCTTCCATACCTTTGGTCTCAATCTATAGCTTCGCCTTCACCTTCTTTAACCCCTCATCCACCCCTTTCTTATCCCCTTGAAGCGCGGCCAGCATCACCTCATCAGCCCCAGGAATCACCATCTCAAATATCGTCCCTTCCCCTCCAACAACCGCATACTCAAAGTACCCACACCTCGCAATCGGTCTCGTCTTCCTCACATCCAATCTCCCCTCCCCATCCAAAGCCCACTCCGCAATATGCACCCCCACCACCCTCCCAATCACCAAATCCACGCTCCCCACCGGCCCATACCCGGGCAACCTCACTGTCGAATGATACACGCACTCAAACTTGACCGGACTCGCCTTCACCATCGGTACCGGATTCCCCTTCCCCCTACCCGCATTACCCCCCTCCCCACCCTCATCATCCCCCCCATCCCCCGGCAGCACGGTACTAAACTCCTTCTCCAACCCGGCCACCCCAAACTCATCCACCCCATACCCCACCGGCTTCGCCGTGACATTGACCGCCTCTCGCAACGCATACGTTGCCAAGCTCCACGCGAACTTGCCCGTCGCCTCCACGTTGCGCACCGTATCCTTGCGGGCGCCGGCGCCGGAGTGGCTCGCCTGGTTGGCCGAGAAGAGCACGTAGGGGGGGTCGAAGGTGAGGGGGGCGAACTGGCTGTAGGGGGCCAGGTTGTGGGTGGGTTGCGGGTTGGGGTGTTGGGCCGTTGCGGCGGGGAGGGGGGAGGTGGTGGAGATCCAGCCGATGGGGCGCGGGATTACGCAGGCTTTGAAGGGGTCGTAGGGGAGGTTGTGGGGGGTTTTGCCGGGTTGGTAGAACATTGTTCTTGTTTTTTTTTTGTTTTGGTTTTTTTCTTTTCGTGAGGTTGGAGGTGGTGACGGGTTTATGAGGGGTTGATGGGAAGGATGGTGTGGGTGGTGGCCGGGTCGTCGTGGTCTGTTTGGTTGTGCGCGGTATGACGGCTGTTCAAGGTATGACGGAGAGTTCAGACAAAGATTGTGACGCAAAACTGTGACGCAGGTCTCGGAGTTGGGAGGAGACCGGACGATGAGCGCTTCCCCGCATATTAAGTTAACAATCCCGTCTGTCGTCCTTCGAGAACGTTTAATTGGGCAGCTGCTGCCCGAAGACGCGGGAGAGTAGCGAGTAAATCCCGAAACTCTACGGAAAGTCCTATGATGCATCCAATACTACCTCCCTCTTATCCATTTATATCTCGTACCCTCCCGCCAAATCCATGATCCGGTCGGGGTCTATCTGGTCCCTGATCTGTCGGAGCCGCGCAGTGTTCTCTACCCCATACAGCTTCTCCGCCGGCGTGTCGGCGAACACATAATTCGAATAGTCTAGGAATGTATCTTCATAGATTCCCTCCTCCTTGGCAACCTCCTTTAGTCTTGCCAGCGATTGGCGTGCTGTGGCATACCACCACTCATCATCGCTTTGTTTCGCCCAGGCAAAATATAGGTTGAGCTTGGGTTCAGGTAAGTGACCTCCTTGCTACGAGTTCATGGGACGGATGCGGATGGGGGCTTACCGGAAGGAGAGAATCGGCGTGCGGGAATGCACCTGGCTTTGCATGCTTGCCGTAGTCTATAAACGGTTCGATCTCATAACTGACCATCGTACCGCCATGCAAAGCAGAGGTCTTCCCGATGTCCTAGGTTGGGAACAATATCAGTATCTGGCTATCTCTCTGCATTCACCCACGCCGCACGCGGCCGTCGGACTTGGGACGTACCTCCACTTCCTGCTTGACGGCTTCAATAAACCGGTTGGTAAGTCTCGTCGTGGAGAAGCTACCGAACGTGCCCCGTGCGTTCAAGACAATTTCGGCTGGGAAACTGTTTACAAGATTTTTGTACGACTTCTTGCCCGTGTTGTCGAGAGTGGTCAGTAGCCCATCAAACATGTCGAAGATTTCTGGCTTCTCTGGTCCGTCATAGAAAAACAGCGTCAAGGAAGTTACCCCTAGGCCGCCACCATCAAGAGTCGTGATGATTTGCGCTTTTGGGTCCTTGCTCTCTTCGAAAAAGCGTTGGGTTGCGTTCAGAAGTGCAGGAATCTGACTAGAAGGATACGCGCGGAGGCCACCCTAGACGGCATCAGCATTGCTATGTGCTGCGAGACTGAGTGGCGGTATTGTTACCTACCCATACTTGGGCCGGCTGCGGGTGAGTGTAAAACTCGGCTGAAGTGACAATTCCGTATCGATTCAGGCCGCCTCGGAGTGCGAAAAAGAGATCTTGGTTTTGATCATCCGAGGCGGTAGTGACTGTGCCATTCTAAGCTTCTTGTCAGCTGGCTGCCTTATATGGGGACTACGAGTGGTTCGAGTTAAGCTTACCGGAAGCACCACGTTGAAAGACTTGACTGTGTCGCAAGTGAGACCTGGATATACCCGTCAGCAGCCAGCCATCACCCTGTTCGTCGTGAGAATGAAGAAGGAAAAGGGGAAAAGAGGAAAAGGAGAAAAAAAAGGGCGAACCATATTGGTTTGTTTTCCTGCCCGATGTCAGTACTGCGGGACTGAAGTTCCAATCTTGTATCATATTAGGAACTTACCAGGAATATCCCCCCCCCAGGGTGAACCCGCCAACGCCGGGCCCGGGAACTCGCCCACCAACAACACTGACCCCGGTGCCATCAAGCGCGTCATATACATCGGCCCACCCCTGGCCAAACCCAAGCGTGACAATCGTCTTGTCCTCGGATAGATCAACTTGGTTCAAACGCTTGAGCGTGATATGCACCCCGGTCGTACTGGAGAAGCCCGGGTTTGATGAATGTCCGCCCGAGTATACGGCAAAAGGGGTGCTAGATGCACCCACGATTTCCAGGACCAGCGAAATATCCTCGACGGAGCCAACCTCGACGACACACGCCGCGTCCCCGTTTGAAGAACGGAACCAGTGTTGAGTGGCGGTAGTGTAACGCAGAACTTGAACTAGATGGCTAACATATCAGAGAGCCGGGTTTGGAACTTGAAAGGGGAGGCAGAAGACTAACTCGGATAGATCACCTCACTTGCCTCCGACAACTGGCCTGCAATATCTTGACAGACATCAGTGTAATCCGGAGCGGCGTTGACATTACAAGCAAGTAGGACGGCGCCCAACAGCGCCCGGGGACGGACCATGGCTTCCAAAAATACCCGACTATCCCTCTGGCCAGGAGATGACGATAAAAGACTGCCACGAGATAGACTTAACGGGACTCTAATAGAAACATCATAGGAATTATATCCGCCACGACCTGGCACTTATAAGCCCGGCCCATCCCCTTGGTCGTATTCACTCTTCCGCTTGACACCTCACAATCCAACAAACCCGTGGGTTCCCTGCTTGTCACAAAAGTTCCAGCATCAAGCTGCCAGGTGATGTGGGCATGAGTGGCATGGAACCTGGCTATGGTAGTCTTGGGGCTGAACGCCTGCCGTATCAGCCAATGGTGGGGAGGACCACAGCTGCCGGCATCTGGTTCTCGGCTCCCGAAGGAACCGCATCGAGGTGCATTGCCCCCTAAAACAAGTTTCACGTGCAGCTCGCCCGACTAGCTTACCCTTCCGGGAACTGCGCTAGCTGCGGTTAATCGGCATGCACCCGAAGGTGACCGCAGGTCCGCATCCGATTGGGACAGTTACAATGTGGTCACCATTTTTCCGATTGGCATCTCGTCTCCACACTTGCGAGCTGGCTCGCAAGCACCTATCCAATTCGATACTAGGGGCGGTGGCATCATGACAAGACCTTCCCCTATACCGGCACCCTCACGTTGAAGAAAACACAAAGTAAGGGAAATTTGGAAAAGAGGATGTAGAGGGGACCAGAAAAAGAAACCAAAGGGAACCAAGCAAGAAGGGAGGAAAGAAAATCAAGGGAAAAGAATGGAAGGGGAAGAAATGAAGAAGTAAGACGCGACAAGAAACCAAAGAAAAAGAAGGGATGGAGATGAGGAAAAGAGACGGGGAAGTAAGCCGAGGAAAATAAAAGACACCAAGTCGAATCAACAGTAGGCTTCGAGCTTCCGAAGGGCTTCATTTTCTCTTCTTTTCTTTGTTACTCCTATCTATCTGCGAAATGTCCGTCGACATCTACGCTCAGCGTGCAGCTATTTCCTTCTACGGCGTAACTGGACAGCTCAAAGACCGTACGTTCTCAAACTCGACCAACCTCCCCTTCACATTCCCCAAACTGTCGGACTCCCGGGCACTCATGCCCCGTTTCGAGATAGCCGCCCTCCTGAAGCCGGCACGCCCCACCCCGCTCCCATCAAGTATCCAAAAACGGACATAAACGCGTTATCAGGATCGTCCACCACATCATGCACAGCCATGCCCGCCTCCCCCACCGATCCGATCAAGCGAAGCAGCGTGCGCGCCGTCATCAGCCCCACCGCCCCAACCGCCTCCCCGACAAACGGAATCCAAAAGAGCAAGTCCGTCAAGAACCCAAGAATAAACTCCCCCCGCTGCGCCTTGGCAATATCATCCGCCATGTCCACAATCCTCTTCATACTCGCGATGGCCTCCTCGGCCGCGAACGCCGGCAACGACGGGGCATCCACCAAACCCGACACCAGCATGAGCTCGTCCCACTGGGCAAACCGCCGCACGATGCGGAACCGCTCCAGCATCTCGCTGACACGTGCAAACGAATCGCCGAGGATCTGCTTCGGGTTATAGACGTCGATCTTAGCGTCGTCCGGGAGGGGGTACCCCCGGAACCAGTTATCCTGGCGGTCCTGGCACTCGAGCACGTCGTCGCCTGCGTACTGGCAGCCGTTGATGGTCCGCATGTGTCGCTTTCCGAGGCGGACCCAGTCCCGGTCGATGCCCCAGGTGTCGGCGAGGTCCCGATAGAAGCCGTCGGGATCGGTAAAGGTGGCGTTGGGGATGGGCGTGCGATCGAGCAGTTCGAGCGGGAACTGGAATTTGGGACACGCAGGCATGTCGACGGGAGCGGCGCAGTCGTAGTAGTCACAAATGGTTTCCTGGCACTTGAAGTACTTGTCGACTTTGTCGCTGACCATGAAGGTATCGATCTGCTCGGGTATCTGTGTTTTGACGTATTTTTCGTAGGCTCGAAATTTGTTGTCGTAGTCGTCGTGGATTAAGTGTTTATACCTGCTCAAGGAGCCTTCGAGTATGGCGACCTGTATGTCGACAAGGTACTGCTCGATGCAGTAGGTCGGCAGTTTGGAGATCAAGTCCTACAGTCTCTTGAGAGAGGGAGGGTTGGTAGCGGCGTTGCAAGAGATCTGTCATACCAAATCTACCGCCAGATCAATCTCCTCCTTCCGGGACCCATCCTTCAGAGAGTTTTGCCCTTCCGACATTCGACACTGGCAGCTGCCACCCGCTCGTATGAGTGGATGACCTGGTAGTGTTCCCTCGCCTGCCCCCCGTGGTAGAACACATTAAGAAAGTCGTGAATCTGCTTCTCCGCATCCATGATGCCCTTGGCCTTGGCTTTGAGAGCCGTCTCTTCCCAATCCACAGTCTTCCACATCTCTCCGGTCACGGGATTCTTGCCCAAGTCTTGCTGGTAGATTGCCATCGCGCCGCCCAGCTTCTCCAGTGCCGCTTGGTAGAGATATGGGCCATGGTCTCCCACGCGAGCAATCCTGACTTTCTCACTGGTCCTGTCGAAGGCCTCCCAGAGATGTTCGTTGTCCTTTGTCTTTTTAACGGCCTTGAACGTATCATTGACTTTCTCCCCGAGCTTGGTGCCGTAGTCGCTCCATTCGTGCGTGTCGCCTGCCATGGCAGAGAAAGGCTGGAAGTTGGGAATCAGAGGTGCGCTGGGGGGCTTTGGGCGGGATTCGTATAATTTGAACGTTGCTAAAGCCGTTTCGTCGACATCCAGTTTTCCATCGCCGTCCAGGACGGACCATCCTTTCCCCACATGTGCCTTGCCCAAGTGAACAATCAACTCGTCGTAATTGTGTCGGGTGGCTCCCTTTCTCGCCGGTCGACATGGTTGATAAGCGCCGTCGCACACTTTCTTCTCCTTATTCCACTTGGCGCACGTGAAGCCGATTGTTCTGTCTTTTTCGTCGTTGAGTTCGTCAATCTGGTAAGTTTTAAACAGGAGGAGTTGTTCCAGGCATCCCTGATACCCGCCTGCCCACACAGTGGACACGTAAGAAAGGACGAAAATGTTGAAGACCTTCATGGTGGCGGAAGGGAATGAAGTGTCAGCATAGAACGTGAGAGTTGTCTTGAGCTCTGCAAGACAGGACACGGAGTGCGGTGGACGAGACCTAATAAATGACGAGTGATTCGCTTCTTCGGCTTGGGTTGGCGCGTTCAGGGTTCTTTGATGTCTCTGTCCTTGCATCGTCAACCTTTCCCTTTCTTTCTCTTCCTTTTTAGTTATTTTCTTTATCTTTTTCTTCCTCCCTAACCCCCCTTCTTTTTCTTCTTCTTTCTCCGTCTCTTTTCCCTTTACACATCGTTGACTGACAATGTCTTTACTTCTAGAACGCTGTGTGTGGACCCACCGTAAGAGACGTCTTCCCCTTCAACACCTATCCCGAAAGAAACTAAATTAACGCCAGGGGATCAAGGTTGGCGGCACGCCTCAGCCCCCGCCAGGCAGCGATTTGGCAGCCCATGTCTACTGAATGTTTGTTGTAACACCTGGGGCCAGTATGGAACGACTGACGACTTTTGTCTCATCCCCAAGTCAGCAACCAGTGCACCGGGGACTGCTGCTCCCGGAAAGAGTGACTGTAAGTGCTTTTTGTCTCCCAACTCGGCATCCATTAAAGACCACGGGGCATGCAACTGGCGTGGAGGACTATGTAGGCATCAGGAATTGTGGCGGAGACATCGTCAAAGGTCCGGTGCCGCGGATTACATTTCCCACGCGGAAATTGAGGAAATTATCCACTCCGGCAAAGTCAACAAACAGTGGAAGAAGCAAGGGTCCAACTTCCTGGAATACAACAACATGGAGTGGGCGGCCTATATAGACTGCCTACGATGTTAAGAAGCCTCGGTGTCGTTGATGATTCTGGCCGGGCATTACAGTACCAGAACGACACATTGCGCCCAAATATTCATGTCGCCGTTCATTTCCCAGAATTCGCGGAGGAGTACGCTTTACCTGTCAACCGTAACACACCCATAGGCGAAAACTTACACCGGTATGTCTAACTTCCGTCGGTGATTGCCCCTCACCTGTAGTTACCAGTACCCCGCTTGATAGACCTTCACCGGCGAACCCCAGACCCTTGGACTCAGCGACATTCGTGTGGATCTGTGTCTGGCTCTTGTCGCGAAGTGATCTGGGCATGGCTCTGGCACCATGCTTGGAGAAGGCCTGCCAGCAAACACAAGACCGTTGAATCCGGAGAGATTCGAATCCGCGTCGCCCATGTATCGCTCGCTTCACCTCGATCTCTTCGGCCGGGTTTCTTCGAACAGACCTACCCGTCTTACCGTCTGCTAACGTCTTCTAGATACTTCAAGATTCGTGTCTACGAAACAAATTACTCCAACGTGGAGAAGATCCTGCTGATGAAAGTCAATTTCCAAGAGACGATGCGCCTGCTCCTCCAGAACGCTTTTCAACATGACGACCCGGAACTCACCAGCGAGATGCTTGCACTTTACCAGCAGTGCCCGACCCTTTTCAATAAAGTACTATCTCGAACGGACCGAAATGAGATGGATGCCCTACTCGAAAACGAAGACCACGAGATGGAAATCGACCAGTCCGCAGACAGCAATCATCTCAGACCGGCTGCGATCAATCGTATCCCAACAAAAAGTGTTGTCGCAACCCACCCAATTAATGATGGCAATAGAATCCCGACTCGCTCCGGGGACCTCAACACGACATCGACTTGGCGTGGTCATCTCCGACTGGCATACCAGTATGACTACGGCAAACCTGCACAATATCCATCTCTGTTCGAGAACCGGCCAATCCAGTGGTCACGGAAGTTCGGATTCACCGACAGGTGCGTACCAGACCACCAGGTCCATACCCCTGAGTCCCCACCCCTCCCCCTTTCCCACCACCGGGACACGTGAGTCTGGCTCGCCTCGTCAGATTCCCCCAGACGGCCGGCGTGCTTGTCAGCACAGGTTCCCGGAAGGGACATTGACTCCTGGGTGGCAAATAGAGGCTGGACGGCTTAGCGGTGTGCCCAGGCTAATGTTCTTCATACGGGCAGGAAGTCGAACGACCGCTTCACGTTCAGGACTGGCGACTTTGTACGATTCAAGGGCGACAACCAGACTCTTTTCGGGCGTGTGGACCATATCTTCGTCCTCGACAACGACAAGGACAGACACATCTTCACAGTACTAACACTGATCAAGCGTACAAAGACTCGACATAAGCTCCTGGACTTGGAGATAATGGAGGAGACGGAAGATGCTGTAGTGGTTGGGGTGCCTGTCATTCGCCCTGTGCGTCTCTACATGGTACCGGTCAGGGGCGTTGGCATCATCTGGGTGAACTGGGACATACATGCGTTATGAGAGCGCGCGATGTAAGTTGCCCGTTTTTACCTCCCCTAATGACGCCTGTGTCAGGTAACGAACCGGTTGGGGTAGACGACAAAGATAACCTGGAAAGTGGCGTCGCGCTCCCTCTTCGGCTAACCAGCAGGCCGATAGCGCTACTGTTCAACCAAACCAACCCGCGACCAGGCAGTTAGCAGCAGGGCTAAGAGGACTTACATGACGTGGACCCACTGGGGATGGATGCACGCGAATCCCGTATTATTGAGGGGGTGTTTGGGATCTTTATGTAGGGAAACAGACGCTAAATACAACAGTGGCTCAAAATACAATAACAGGGTGCAATGGGGGCGGACAGGAGGGTGCAGCGGAGGGTGTGGCAGGCTAGGCGCTGGAGCGGGGCTGCGATCGACGGCATTTGGCGTGGGAATGCTAGTTGCATTGGGTATGCTAATTACGCGGGGTATGCGAGTTGTCAAACTTGTCAAATATTTTCAGGCTATCATAGCGCTGTCAACTAGCGTTCCCACCTTCCACGGAACCCCGCTGTGGTATTCTCATAGCTTTTTTGTGGGCTAGGTCGGCCATGATGAGCTTTGTGTGGCATTCCATTCTTGCCAGAGACTTGACCAGCGGGACTATTGGAGCTAGCAAACTGGAAACTGCTGCTCGACAGACAGGCGAAAAGGAGGGCAAGGGCATGGGTATAAGATCTCTTTCACGAGTGTGCTCTATGTGATCTTTGGTATTGTTCCTGTAAAACATTCAACTGAAAGTGTTATCATCGAGATCTATGCCAGCTTTCACCTTCTTTTCAATCATATGTTGAGTCCAAGGTCGATTTTATCTGTCTACGAGCTTCACCGTCGACATCTTCCCAAGAAAATAATTGATAAAATATGATCACTTAAAAGAAGTCGTCCTCTGTAAAGGCATCATTGCCCCCATCATTACCTTCTCCTTTTCTTCCCCTTCCTTCTCGTATCGCAACCAGTGATGTCCCACCGCAATCGCAGGAACACGCCCCTCCAACCCGCCCGTAGGCTCGGCTGCCAGTGATAGGCCGATCGCTTCTCCCTCCAAGATGCCAATGCATGATTGTGGAGAAGCCGCCGGGCCGCCCCGACTTCTGCCAGGGTATGGCCGAGGAGAAAACATGGAACAGTCTTGTTCACCTTGGTCGACGTCGTCGGTGTCAGGGGTTGCCTCCACTTGTGCCAGGTTGGCCCCCTCAAAGGGTGTATAACCAGGCCATGCGTAATTCGGAAAACTGAGGGGCTCGAATGGGGACAACGGACTGCTTGTTTCCGGGTTCGGCCCCCACGGTGTGACAGGATCTGGTGTTGACCATACCCGATGGGGGTTCGAGAGACCCAGGTCCCCGCCCGTCTCTGGCAACGTGATCTCCTGCAGCTTGTTGGGGGAATCCTCCCATTTTTTACCCACCGCATATGGGCAAGTGCACACATGTAGACAACCCCCCCTCCCCGATGGGGGCGCGTTCCGCATGGAAATGAAGCAGCGCTCGCACAATGCGGCACCCCTGAGCTGAGCGCTACCCTGGTTCTCAGTCTTCGGGTGTTCGGCGCCGAAAACTACCGGGCACACCTCACCCCGCGTGGCATACCAAACCGCCGCTTGCAAGATGGCATCCAGTACCTGAAGCTCGCCCTCATCCCGCGGCGCATACACCAAGACCAACCCCTCGGGCACGGGCAGCCGCTGCTCCATGACGCCGTGAAACAGCAGTCTGAACCAGCGCTTGTCATTGGCACAGAGGGGATGCCGCTCGCCCCACCCAGCCTCTATCACCGTCCTGACATCTTCAGGGTGCAAGACGACGTGGAGGGAACCGTCTGCAGCGTGGACGTGGGCGATCTCGCCGCCTCACTCCTCCGGCTGGTGGATGGCGCCGGCACGGTGATGCTCAATATTCAAAAAAAGGGCTTATTGATCGTCCATGGGCTCGAGGTAGGATGGCTTGATCTGGAGGTGCTCGGGGTATACGGTTTCGTAGGACCTGAGAAGCGTCCTGGTATTGCAAAACAATAAGCGTGATGACCGTTGATTAAGAGTCTCTCGAATTGTACGGGGTCGCCAACCTAATTGTACGCGGCCCGCACAGACTACATGGATTGCGCCACACCTGAGACGGGCTGAGCCCCCGAGCCCCGTCCACGTCCTCGTGCCGGCGTCGGTGTCGACACTTCGATATCCCGTCCTTGATAGAGGTGTCCCTGGATCTCCGCCTGGTCCATAAGCTCCCATTGAGAGGGATCACGTTGGCGGCTCGCAGCGGCTCGTCGACGATAGTTGTCTCCACGTGGGATGGCAGCAATGGGGATCTGCTCGGGTCCAATAACTGGTCTTCCACGACGTACCACAACTGCGAGGGGCTCGAGGATAGGGAGATAGAGGTCCCCAGAGGCAAGGTCCTTGCGGTAAAAAGGGGCAAGCATGATGGGGCCGTTGCTCAGAGGCCACGGAAAAAAGGGGGAGGCTCGTGGGTTCTCAACGGGGGTTAGGGTTGGACGAGGGTTGCCGAGGCTCGGGGTGTCAGAATACGGGATTCACTGGTCCAATCAGGCAATCAAGTATGGTTGTTGTCCGCGCTTGTTCCGCGTCCGTTGTATTTTTCGGTGTCTCTTGTTTTAGACTCCGACATGTGGGTCCCCTTGGGGTTTTTACCCGTCGAAATGAGAAGTGATGGCTAAGCTCAACATGCCCCGTTTTCTTCATATCCGAAGTCTCCACCCCGATATTCTGACACGGGGGACTACAGGAAGACGGGAAGAGGTCGCGGACGGGGACGAGGCCAGCAAAATAGAGTAGACGAGACCCAAGGACGTACAGGTCTAGCGTCTAGTGCAGCCATACAGCTCGGGACGCCAGAACCGGACACCCCCTTGGCTAGTTGACAGATAGAAATCGATGCCTGAGTTTCCTGCAATAGATCCCCCTCAAGTGTGGCGCAATCCATGTAGTCTGTGCGGGCCCCGTACAATTAGAGAGACTCTTGATTAAGCTGCGCGGTGGCAGCAGTTCGCCGGACCGTTGGCCTCCTCCCGAGCCTTTCAGGAATGGTGGAAATATAGCCATGGTTAGAGAGCCCGTTAAGCCTAACTCTGGGGGGCTTGAGCACATTGACCCGGGCAATCGCCGCGAGAGCTGTGAGGGCATACCAAGCCCTGAAAGTCAATACTGGCCTTCCCTCCAAGAACGGAACACTATCGAGATACGTCCGGTACGTATTCCAACCCCACCATGCTAAGCCAGTAATAGCGTAAGCCCAGAAAAGTTGACGTGCTGTAAAGCTGTCCATCAGGTAGTAGGATAAAAAAAAGCCCAACCCCAGAAACCAGAGAGACAAGTCCAGCCAGAGAGCAATCAACGCAGGTAAGGTTACGAGGGCACAATACCATAAGATTTCCAGTAGATAACCTAACTCGTATTTGATTATTTGTGACATGCTGCGAGCGGGTGTATGAAGCCCATTTTCGGGTTGCTATGGGGAAAATGCTATGGAAGAAGGCGAGGGAAGGCTTAAGTTATTTGGGTTTATCGCATGGGAGGTAGTAGTAGTTAGTTGTATGCTGGTCCCATCTAGTTTGTTCTATCCAAACTGCTTTGCTGAACAACAAGCTTGTTTTTACCAAAGGCTGTTGCTGGTTGAATCCCTTGCGGTTTTGGCTCTGTTCATGCTATACCCTGATATACTGGTCCATCAACCAATGGCCGCCAGCACCCTGACTGAGTACCGAAAGTGGGAACCATGAGCCTATCATCACCCGACAAAGCCGAGTCGTGTTCAAGGTCCAACGCCCTTCAACGGTCCTGGGCATGGAATCTCACGGCATATCTTAAATCAGCTACTGGGCCAACCCTCCAAAATTATATACCCGCTAATTACGTTCCAACGACTTGTGAATTGACCGGCTCGCTACAATACGAAGAGGGACTTGAAATTATCTGAATAGGTATCATTTCCATGGCCCCGGAGAAAAACTTCTCTGTTTCTTTGCTGGAGTGACAATATCACGCGTTGCTTGGCACACCGGGATATTGATCCCACAATACCACTCAAAGGTGCAAATGAGCTTCCAATTTCTCGCATTCACCGTCAGCTTGCCCCGATGTAATTGGACACCGATATTACACGCGAGCCCAAGCCGTCCCGAGTCGGGGGCTGTGAGCCTCATTTCAGCGAGTTCTGCCTGCGAGTGAGCCCTGACACAAGGTCAATGCAGGAGTCCAATCAGCCCAAAGACCGAACCTTGCCGACATAGATCTCATTGTGCATTAAAGCCAACCCTCAGCCGTCTTCGAGAAACTGAGGTTTTCACGCCAGCGACTACCGACAGGAAGATTCAACCTGATTTCAGATTCCTTGTTCTGTTGCCCACCATGCACCTCTCATTGCCTCTGCTTCAAGGGCTGCTGATCGCCGGAGCCGCTGCAACGCGTCAAAGGATACAACGGCAAGGCAGCGAGGATGGCCGGGAAGGCCCAGTTGAACCCGACACGGCCGCGGACTGCACCTTCTTTGACACCGCTCGGAGTGCGTCGGACAACTGCGCGCACTTTGCGTCGTTTTGGGGTATCTCGGAACAAGACTTTATCCAATGGGTGCGTACCAACAACAGGGTCAATCAATCTACCTACAAGAACCATTTCTAATTCAGCTTCGCAGAACCCGAGTGTAAAGTCCGACTGCAGCGGCATCAAGGTTGGCAACTCGTATTGCATCGAAGTCAACTACGGCATCCCGCCCACACCAACAACCACAGCCGCACCCAGCAGCACGGCGGCCCCCAAGCCGACCCAAACCCAGTACGGGCTGATCGACTCATGCACCGAGTTCTACGAGGCCAAGTCCGGAGATATTTGCGTCAGCATCGCAAGTTCCTTTGGAACCTTTACCTGGCCCGACTTTCTCCTGTGGAACCCGGCGGTCGGAGATGACTGCAGCAGATTGTATGCTGGGTGGTACTACTGTGTCGATGCCCCCGAGAGGGCGCCCACTCCCACCAGCGTGATGCCAGTCGAGACGTGCAACCCGACGGCGCCGACGCCGACCCAGCCCGGGCCCATCTGCGGCTGCACTAAGTGGTACCAGGTTGAGGAAGGAGACACTTGCTCTGTGATTATTAATAAGTTTGACCTCGGTGAGAACTTTTACAAGTGGAACTCGAATTTTGGAAGCCAGTGCGAGTACCTGTACCTTGGGTATTATGTCTGCATTGGTGTCGAATAGGGGAGACTGGAGGCCGTTTGGTTGAATAGACACCTATCCCCCGCGGTATCTCGGCCAGCCATCGGAAGACAGATTCTCAAATATATAATATTGAATTCCAGTTCAAATCTTTTTACTCGCACATGACGCGATGCTAGATAAAGGTGATAACTAGTTACCATGAACAGCACGAATCTCGCCGGCAAAACTCCGAACTTTATGATCCAAAAGCCAGGGCTCGTCCTCGCTGACCGAATGAAACAAGCTGAATTTAACCAAACGCGGCTTGATTACTGATCAATACACCTGACAGCGCGCCACTTACGTGCCAAGGACGTCATGATGCACCCCTCTTCCCCTTTGTGTCGACGCGTCGAGAAGCCACAAACGCGCTGTCTGGGGCTGGCGATCTCCTTTGCGCCTGTGTTAATCGCCATCCCGATGGATGCCTAACGAGTGGCTTGCCAAGAGGAGGGGGTCGACCGCGGGAACTCGCTCGATGGCAGCCATGGGACGGCATCAAGGGAGACTGAAGATTTAAAGAGCTCCTTTGTCTCGATCATCGTAAAATCCCCAGAGCTTGCCTTCATCATCATCTCACTCATCTCAAATCTAGAAGCTAGAACCATCACCAGATCCATCACGACATTGTGATCTTCATCCTCCCACCTCACCATGCCGCTCAGCAAGCTCCAACTCACGACCTGTCTCTGGTTCGACGGCCAAGCCGAAGAGGCCGCCAACTTCTACACCTCCATCTTCCCCAACTCCAAGATCACCCACATCCAGCATTACCTGCCCAACGGCCAAGAGCTCCACCGCCACGAGCCCGGCACCGTCCTAATCGTCGAGTTCGAGCTCGACGGCCACCGCTTCGTCGGACTCAACGGCGGGCCACACTTCCGCTTCAACGAGGCCATATCCTTCCAGATCGACTGCGCCGACCAGGACGAGGTCGACTACTACTGGGACAAGCTGGCCGAGGGCGGTGACCCGGCCAAGCAGCAGTGCAGCTGGGTGGCGGATAAGTACGGCGTGTCGTGGCAGGTCGTCCCGACGGCGCTGAAGAGGATGATGGCGAGCGATGATAAGGCGGCGGCGGGGCGGGCGACCGAGGTGATGATGCAGTCGAAGAAGATGGTTATCGCGGATTTGGAGAAGGCATTCAGGGGTTAGGGGGGCAAGTGGGGGATCGAATTCAACAGGAGGAAAGGAAGTGCGGAGACGGAAAATTGTGAAGTGAAATCGAGAATTTGGTATGTTCATTTGACAACTATTCGATGAGGGTATGAGAAAACGAATCAAGGCACGCATGAGAAAGTCAATGTTGAGGTCCAGACCGTCCAGCGCCTACCCCTTACGCCTCATCCCCATTATACAGGGGCTTCCACCCCAGCCACACCCACTTGCCCTTCTCGCTCCCGCTGTAGAAGTGCATATCCAACGGCGCATCCTCTGGCGAAGGCGGGCTGTCGGGCGCATTCGTCGCCAGGACGCCGTACTGTGCGTACCTCAACACCTGCCGGCCGGGAATAGGTCCCGAGTTTCCAAAAGTCTATCAAGCACAAAGATTAGCCACGGAACTCCTTTAATTATCACAGCCAACAGGCAATACAGCCGACAACCAACACCCCGCTCTCCGGGAATAACTGACACACGACCAACAAAGCAAAGGAAAAAAAAAAAAAAAAGAAAGAAATACGCACCCCAAAAGTCGCGCCCTTCACCCCCCGGCCACACCTAAACGTCGCGACATCGATCCCGCACCCGCCGCTCGCCTGCGGGGCAAAGAGCTGGAACTGGCCGTTGGGCAGCGGCTCGACCGAGAAGAAGCCGCACTGCGCCTCGTCCGTCGTCCACTGGCCGCTGCTGGTCACGCAGCCCAGGTCGTCGTGGTCCGCGCCGATGTACAGCGTGCGCAGCTGGCCGAGTCCGGTGAAGTCTTTGCTGCTGCTGGAGGCGAGGGCGGTGGGGGGGAGGAGGGAGGTGAGCGCGAGGAGGAGGGCCGTGGCAGTGCGCATTGTGGGTGGTGTGCGTGATGGGGAGTGGACTTTGTGTAGTTGTAAGGGAGGTTGTGGTCGGTCTGTAGATCGGAGAGTTGGCGGGGGGTTGGCGGGGGGTTGGGTGGGGGGAGGGGGTGGGGGTGGTGGTTGAAGATGTGAGGATGGTGAACTGATTTGACAGTTGCGGGTTGATTTGTTGGTCGTCGGGGGGCGTCTTCTGAAGGGCGGTGATCACTCAAATAAATACTCACCGTCGGAGCGCCAACGCGTCATTCTCTCACCCCTGGATTGACCAAAAAGTCCCTCGGAGAGTTCCACGGAGCACCCATCCATGGATCGCCCGATTAGTCCCACGGATACGCCCCCCGGAGTTTTACGGTACTCATTCCGGTGTAGGCAGGTGAGTTGTTTCCCGGTAGCCGGGATCTGAATAACACCACAACCAACAGGGCGTATCTCCTGCTCGATCCGTCATCTGCAGCGTGGGCAGCCACTCGTGCTGCAGAAGTCCGGTGATCAGGCAACTTGCTGCAACTTGCTTCTCACTCTGTCAGGAGGGCCCTTGCCCATATTAGCCGTCATTAACCCTACTCGCGCGTAAATTGCCACCCAATGTGAAGCTCAGGTCGAGATGGGTTGCACTGACCTCTGGTCCTGACATATTTTGCTGGCATTGCTGCCCATCAACGTTGACCCGGCCCGGAATCCTTCTGTCTCTGGCTGCCGTCTGACTTCATCCCCCAGCCCTTTCCCATCCCCCGCATCGGGGTTTGTAAGCGGTTACGTTAGGATCCTCATTTAAGGTTGGAGATCTGCCATTGGAAGGCCCGGTAGTACCGTTACATTCCACCGTTTAGCGCCCCCAACACCTGCTGCATACCCCACGATTCCCTGCTTGCTTCCAGGGTTGACGTCGTGCTGGGTGGGTGACAGTTGGCCCACCTCTCGGCGAGCAAAGGCCCATTGCCAGAAATGGACTCGTCTTTGATGTCCGGGTGTGCCGAGCCTGCCGGATCATGTTACTTCGAAAAACGGACTTCGGCCATTTTTGTGGCTGACCGTGCCTCGGATCATTGGTGACAAACAGGTAGGGAGATAGTGAATTGTCGGACGAAGCGGTCCAAGCAAGCCCTGCCAAGGAATCTTCTCTGCGTTCTCGATCTCGAGACGAGCTATCGCGTGCCGGGCATACCCCTACCTCAACGACATTCCGTGTTAATCCCTTGCATGGCAAGGTGGCCGAGTGGTTAAGGCGCTGGTTTTAGGTTATTACCACCAGTGGGAAACCGCGCGAGTTCGAATCTCGTCCTTGTCAAGGATTGTTTTTATGTTTCGAGTTTTTTTCTTTTTTCATTCATTTGTTACGCTGTTATTTATCCCTCTAGCCTCTAGTTCTTCTTGTTTACAGCTCATTCGGATGGCGAACTAGCTCTTGGAGGCAATGTAGCTGTTACCGTTCCCAACGTTGCTAATAGTATAGAATTGGATTGATGCGGGACACTGCATCTAATTGCAAATAGTAGAAAAAAGGTAGTTAACTAGAAGAAAGAGTTGTCTGTCAAAGGGGCAAGGCGCCTCAGCCTGCACTGCAATATAGTTGTCGCGCAGAGCGCACAGACTACATATTTGCAGAGCAAAGTGGGGCGGCCTGACACGGACTATCTCTAACTCTTATCACACAATGGGGATTCTTGCATCATGGATCAAAGCTAAGTGAACATAATCATAAATTCAAAATCCTCCTTGATATCAAAGTACGCGGCGCCGTGGTTGCGACTGCTACACAAAGTACAAAACCAATGTTCTTTGCCATGAGAACCCTGCTAGACTGCCAAGTCCTACCCGCTTCCAATATCAAGCTAAAACACACAAAAAAAAAGAAAGAAAACAGAAATAAAACACACAAGCAGTGTCCTCCAATTCTAGGTGTTGCATAGCACCTTTCCAATATGGTTGCTCCTGTTGGAAACGACAACTCAGGCGGAAAGATCGGGAGAAAGAATTTGATTCATATGGCGAATCCAACAGCTCCCTGCGGCCCGAAGAAGACGGAAACACTGCATCGAGCACACTGGCCCATATCCAACTAATAAAGGAAGACGGCACCAACCCCAGCCCCTGCTACGCCCGCAACCAAGACACCCACGTTCAAGTTCAGGAGTGCGGTAGCATCCGACGTGGTGTTCACGCGGGCAGGGCACCTTGTGCGGCAGCGGCGCCTCCTCTTCTCGAGGCCGGGCTCGTCTTCAGTTCGGTTCTTGCCATGCCCCCCCATGTGGGAGTGGGACTGGTGGCGGGCAACGATATCCACGGACTCGGGGGTCCTGTTGGCCAGGCTGGCTGCCGAGGCGACGGCGAGGAGGGAGTAGAGGGCGATGGTGTACTTCATTTTTGATGTTTGATGGCTGAGTTTAGCGTCTTTGTTTGACGGCGTTGGTTTGGTTTATGGTCTTGTTCAATATTTGGTGAATGACTCGGGATGACTGGGGTAAATGCTGTCGAATGTGGGGTAGCGAACCTTGAGGCGGATATCGTGGCAATCTTATAGTTGTCTCTGTTGACGAGTACACGGCAAGTTTTGCCCAATGGAGATAGCGGTTTCGGTGGTCTACCTTATTGCTCCACTGAAACAAGCCTTTGAGCGGCCGCGGGGACGCGCCCCTGGTTACCAAGGTGCGGACCGGGCCAAGCAACACAATCCGATCGACAACCAGGAGGTTCCATAATAACTCCAAATGCTTTGTACCACCGCCCTTGGAATTCATCAGGGAGTCCCTCAAGGGTTGGTCGTTTCGGGTGATGCCCGGCGCTGGCCCGAATCGGGGCCAATCACACCCGTGACCCGGCCCGGGGATGCGGGGATCACTATCCTAAAACTGTACCATACAACCGAGTTCTCGGGGAATGAGGCTTCTTTTAGCATGATTACAATGCATACATTGACCTCGAGCCAATTTCGTGTTAACGCCTCTCCTGTCGCTGGTCCCAGCTTATATTTTGATAATCACAAATTCAACGACGAGCCTCGAAGCAGCCGGGCCGCATGTGGGGCCGGCTGTTTGAGACCCACTTGTCCGGCCTGCCCGGGGCTGGCTCCGGGAGAGGTGCAAGTCCGAATCTGATTGTCAAAAAGAAGTCAAAGCGATGGCAGAAAGGCAAATTGCTACTACACCCGAGAAAGGAGGTTGCCTCGGGCGGGTAACTTTGGAAGGAAAAAGGGAGAAATGAGGGGTGTAGATATCCACACATCCCCTTCCCTCTCTAGGTGAACCTGGAGATTTAATAAGTACCTAGATAGAACTGAAACTACCTTAAGGTAAATAATACATCGCAATCGCGCCTACAAACACCGCAAATTTTGTTTACACTTCCTCGTTATCACTATCTTCGGCAGCATTGACCTGTGGCCGGCATTGCAGTATCTGTCACGGGGCGTGGTCAGGGGAGTCACGGGACAGGGTCAGGTTCTGGCTAATGACTGAGTTGTGCGATGAGGAGAGAGGAAGCTCTCGCAAGGGGACGCCAACGGAGAGGAAATACGGCTGCTCGTGTGGATCCAGGTCGCGTGGGCACGTGCTGCCCACGTGACCCAAGCAGGTCAGGCTTGGTGCCGTGACAGTATCCTATTCTAACCGCCGCCTCCTACAAGCCATTGCCGGATTCCTTCGCAAGCCATCCGGCCAATAAACCTCTGAGGGTAGTAAAGGTGCAAGACCGGACGATTCAGAGTTTTGCATTTCTCCTTGGTTTCTATTCTTCGGTTCCCGCCCACCCCTCCCAACTATCCTTCTTCCCCTTTTCTAATTTACTCGGTTTTTTTTTTCTTTCTTCGTTTGTTTCTTCCTTTTCTTCTGCTTAGTTGTTTTCCTTTTACTTTTTATTTTCTCTTGATTTCTGATTAATTATTATTTCGACTCGGTTTATTTTGCTGGTTGACCCATGCCACTCCTAGCCCTGGTCTTGCGTGGTATTTTGGGTTCCTTCCGTATCATTTTCGTCTTCTCGCGGCCTTTGAACGTACCTGACAAGAGAACAGCTAGTGCACGGTTTTAGCTCCGTGAAAATCCGAGTCAGACACGGGATAACATTGTATCCGTAGCCTAATAGCGGTTAGGCTCACGAAATGTGAGACCAAAATGAGTAGGAGGGGATGGCTTGGCGAGGATCGTCGATGTGTCATATCAAAGTGTTTTTTTTATACGAGCGACGCGAGCGTCATGAGACGAATCTGACCGTCTACAAAAGGTAAGGCCCTTGTACCTCAGAGAGAACTACAGAAGCCACTTCTTCTCAGCAGTGTCAACACAGAACAAACTCACTCAAGAGTCAATCCCAAATACACGACCACCATGGGTATCTTCCGAACCGATACCGATGGCGCCAGCCTCTTCTACCGTTACTACATCCCCTCTTCATCCCCCCACAGGCCTGCAACAACCACCGCACGGCAGCCGCTAACGTTGGTCTTCCTCCACGGGTGGCCCATGTCCTCGCGCATGTTCGACCAGCTGATCGTCCCGCTGGTCGAAACGCACCGCTTCCCCGTCATCGCCCCGGACCGCCGAGGGTTCGGCAACAGCGACTGGACCACGCCGAGGACGGGCGAGGTGGTCTTCGAGACCTTCGTGCAAGACGCCGCTGCCCTTCTCGAGCACGTCATGAGACCCAACCCGGGGCCCTTCGTTTTCGTGGCCGCCAGCATGGGCAGCGTCGAAAGTGTCCTCGCCCGCGCCGCCAGCCCGTTCTTGCGCGAACACTGCAAGGGGTTCGTGTGGATGGGCCCCAATATGCCCTACCCGGCGAGCTGCGAGGAGTGCCCCGATGCCCCGAGCGCCGAGGTCTGGGATGGGCTCATCCAGGGCTTGCGGGGGCCCACTGCCAAGGACTTCATCGCCCAGGCGATTCCGGGGCTCTTCCGGCCCGACTTGGGTAATCAGGTCAGCCAGGAGATGATGCAATTCTTTGAGAGGCTCATCCACCAAGCCGATCCCGTCGCCATCGAGCGAACGGCGGTGGTGTTGCAGAGACCCATGATTGAGGAGCTCAAACAGTGGGCCGCGGCCGGTGCTGCCGATGAGAAGGAGAAGTTGGCGGTTCTGATACTCCATGGCGATGCCGACTCCGGCACACCAATCGACTCAAGCTCTGTTTTGATCCACAATATTTTGCCGTGGTCTCAGTTCAAGATCTACAAAAACGCAGGACATGGTGAGTATCCGACCGGATCTGTACCAGGTTGCTTCCAATGGTCCACTAACCTCGAATGCAGGGCTGTACTTGACACATGCTCAGCAGGTATTGGATGACATGCTTGCTTTCCTCGAGCCGATCATTTCTCAGGGCCAACAATAGTGAATCGATGGCAGAGTATCAATGCACGAAGACGCATTTGTGCTCCTTTGCAGCTACAGTGGTCACTGCAGCTCGCTACATACGGCATAGCCATTTAGATTAATCGTTGTACTACCCACCCACAAAAGCTTCCTATGCCTGAATTTCAATCTAATACCTGTCCTAGAGGGCTCTCAGCGAAGCCTTCGGTTGGGCGTACAGTACATAAGTACCTAGAGGCACGCCTCCTTTCTTCCCCTTGGGTCTGCACTTGAGGCAAACGACCTCACGAGGATTGGTTGCCAACAGGCTTTGCAGATTAACCATGGATGTCGATCTGCCCCATGCCGGGCTTGTAATTGCCGGGTTTCTGAAGATGCCGCGGCGTCATGTTTCCAAACTCAACTCTCCAATGTTATGTCATGTTGTTGTCATTCATCACAAAATGGTGCGCTTGGCGGGCCTTTTCAGCTCGCCTCTTCTGCCGCACAACGACCGTTTAGGTATCAAGCATCCACCCACACCGTGTGTTTTGATGTTGGTATTCGTTGAGACAACTGGGTCCGCCCGCACCGAACCGCTCCCCCGCTCCCGCAGTGGCATGTCTCTCACTTGCAGCTGGGGATCACGCCAATCATTACACCATCAAGTCAATGACAGCCATTCACAACTTTGGGCTTCGCGCGGCAGTTTCGGGGTGGATAAGTTGGGTTACAGAAAGTTCGACCTCGAGATCAGACAGTGCATTGGTGTCATAGGCTTGCAGCGACGATGCATCGGGCCAGCTGCAGCTGTGGCTCTATTATTGTTTTATGCAGCCTTGATTGTTTGGAGGAAAAGCGTTGCTGATCCCTCAAAAACAAGGGAGAGAGGCGTATACATAAGCTTTAGAATCTCCTAGACAAACCCAAAATCACACCAAGATTCCTTCACCTTTCCTCCGTCACCAGTGGGAATTTGGCCGGTGCGATTTCAGGATGGCACCCAAAAGCAACGACTTCTACGTCCTGACGGGCATCAAGGCAGGTATCATCGGTGAGCAGGTCCCCCTTCGCCTCGAGTTAGACAGCTGGTACCCAGGCAAGACCCACGAGCACTTGATCCAGAACAGCTTGTTCCTCTGGGCTCTTAAGCTGTTCGAGGAGAAAGACCCGACACAGAAGCTCTCCTTTTTCCAGGTTGCTGGCATTCACGGATACCCCTATCAGCCATGGGATGAGGAAGAATACACCGCCGCGGCAGGCGGTGCGGGCTACTGCACCCATAACAGTATCCTGTTCCCGTCCTGGCATCGTCCATACATGCTTCTCTACGAGGTAAGTCTCTGTCACCTCCTGACACCCCTTTGCTGACGATATCCACGCATACAGCAAGCCTTGTATGAGATCATGACCACGGAGATCATCCCAAAGATCCCAGACGAGGCTGCTCAACAGCAGTGGGAGAATGCTGCGGCAACGTGGCGGTTGCCGTTTTGGGATTGGGCGTTGAAGAAGGCTCGGCCAGAGGACAGCACGGATCCGGGATCCACGAAGCTCATCTACGACGTTCCCGTCATCGTCAAGTATCCGAAGGTGGACGTCCTCGATTACCAGAAAGGCGCCGCCTCTCTAACCGTTACGATCGACAATCCCATGTACAAGTTCACCATTCCCGGCACGGCGCCGATGGGTTCATATGGCATCAATGACATACAAGCGAAGACCGAAACCGGCCGATTCCGCACTACTCCCGTGAAGCCCTCTTCGCGACCTGCTTTGTTTCTAAAAGCTGACACGCGCCTAGTTCTCCAAATCCAGAAGCTCGTCCCGTTGGGCGGACTTTGTACCCCAGCAGGGAGAAATCAACAGCAACTGGGTGGATGGTACCGTCAACAACGCCCTTGTTGCGGAAGCTCTCCAAACGGCCCCGTGGTACAATTCAGACGCCGACGGCGTACCACTCGCTGACATGGTCTACCGGCTTTACCAACCAGAGTACATCAAGTCGTTTGCGCAGTTCGCCACCACCAGGCTTGCCGGGGTGAAAAAGGATAATTCTCTTTCAGACCCCGCATCCTATCTGAACTTGGAATTCATCCATAACAACATCCACAACTGGACTGGCGGGTTTGGCGAACATACGGGGCACATGGCGGAGGTTCCTGTGGCCGGGTTTGACCCCATTTTCTTCATGCATCACTGCAACGTTGACAGACAGTTTGCCCTCTGGCAAGCTCTCAACGAAGAGAACGAAAACAATTGGTTCGATAACCTGGATCCGCCCTACCACGATGATGGAACATGGACCATCGCGCAGCAAGACGTCGACACGCCCCAAACGGCCCTTGCACCATTCCACAAGAATGCAAGGGGGGAGTGTTTTACCTCAAACGACATTAGGCATTGGACAACGCTGGGGTATTCCTACCCTGAGCTGCAGCCCTGGCTCGACAAATACAAGGGCGAAGATGGGAAGTTTGATTACGCCAAATACACAGCGGACATCCAAAACCAGCTGAGGTCCTTGTATCAACCCCCGGCGTCGCCCACTCTTCATGAATCGGTGAAATGGGACATCATTGTCAACATCACCTACGACCGGTATTTCTCTCTCATCTTCCGTGTATATCACATAGCCATTTATCTTTCCGTTATGCTGATCACTCTTTTCTGCCTTCTTTTCCTCTCTCCCCACTCCTTCTTGTACCTTTCCTCCCTCTTCCCCTTATTTCTCTTTTTCCCCTTTCTTGCCTTCCCCCGTCTTCTTCGAACACATCATGACTCAGCAAAACTCAGTTTCGCCTTTGACGGCATCCCGTACACCATCTACCTCTTCGTCGGCGACAAGACGCGATACGAAAACTACCGGGATCCCGTCACCGGCCAGCCCGTCCCGCCGCACAAGAACCCCCAGCACGTCGGCTTCGTCTACACCTTCAGCAACCCCGTCTTTGGCGCCCGTGCCAGCGGTAGAGGGTGCGGCAAGTGCGAGACCCAGGCCGAGCAGGGCCGCACGCTCTGCCGCGCCCAGATCCCGCTCACCACTGCCTTGCTCGCCCGCGCCCAAATAGATCCACACCTCGCACCCGAACTTGGTAATGCCCCTGAAGGGATCCTGCCCCTGCCCAGCCTCGAGAAGGGCACCGTGGATGACTATTTGGGCCACTTCCTGCATTGGAATGTCACGACGGTGCGTCACTATTTCCCTCCCACCTCCCATCGCTAGCGTCAACTATGTTTGAATGGAACCAGAGCTAACTCAAGGGGTAGTCGGGTGGTACGGACGTTGAGGTCCCTGACGAGAACGCGTTCATCGAGGTGGCCGCCTACCATCGCGCCGCCCGCTTTGACGATCGTGCGTCGGCGGAGCGTTACACTCTGCTCGAAGGGGCTACATCGGGCAAGCCAGGCGGTTTCGTGTCCAGCGGTTCAACCTAAGACTATGAGGGCCTCGGCACTTCCATGTCTATACCTGGGCTTCACGTGCGTAGTTGGTACATGGTACAGAATGCAAAGTCGAATGTGTGGGTGAAATGTTTAGTTCCTAGGCTAGGTAGTTTGAAACTGATATTTCCAAGTCTCCAATTTGACCAAACTACCCCGGTATCGTGACTGTGTCCATCAACATATGATGCCACAGAGTGAGAGAATATCTTAAGGTTATCTTACCTATCAAAGAAGTTGCATGGGACTTACAGTGAGCAGCCGGTACTGCGTCAGCAACAAGCTCAAGGTTGCGGTCCTAGAAGCCCACATGGAAGCACAGGGTGATTATCAGGAGTGGCATGCTACAGTTTCGATCAAAGGCTACTTTAATTAGGTATCGACGCAGTTGAGGAAGAACTGCCTTCCAAAACTGTGGATGGATGGATGGATGGAATTTATTTCGCCCGGAGGCGCTGGGTCTATAGGGCCTTAGCACGCTAACTACATCCGGATCAAATCGGTTTGCCTTTAACTCGTACAAGCCCCCTACTTCTTCCCTCTTTCTCGCTGCACCATTTACCTCTTGCCTTGGTTGTTGTTAGCAGATCAACTTGGAGGCTACTTTCTCCAAGTGTTCAGCGTCCTATCTTCAGCGGCTAAAGCGGGACCTGCTGGTTAAGGCTCGTGGTTGAGGCTCGTGGTGTTGAGTGTCGGCTTCTTCTACTGTGACTGGTCTAGACTCTCCTCCTCATTCAGCTCCAGCCTTCCTGTTGCCATTGCGTATTTGATCGTCGCCCGGACTGCCTTCATATCTGGTGACCAATGCCTTGTATCCGATGGCGCTTTCCCTCCCAGATAGAACGAGAGGCTTCCTCGTCTTGCCACTGTGCATTGCAGCATGTCTTCCCTCAGGGCTGTCCATCTCACGCATCGGAAAAGAAAGTGTTCCACTGATTCCCTCGCTTGTCCACAGGCACAAAGGTCTGACTCGACCGCCCCGATCCTGCTCAAAAAGCCGTTCAGTCTCGCCATTCCGGTTCGGAGCTGCGCCAATACGCAGGCCTCCCTTCGCTTCAGCTTGTCATAGAGATGGCGCGTGTGCTTGCCTGGTAGTGCTGCGTCCATGGCCTTTGAGAACTTGCCCACGCCTACAGGTAGAACTCTTGTCGCTCGTTGTCTTTCCATTGCCAGCCTCATCGCGGTAGACTTGGCCTGGGGCATTTGGGAGTCGGGTGTGCGTCCTTGCTTCGATCACGGTTATGGCCACATGTAGGGTCAGCGGTCTGCACGGGGAGCGCCCCAGCCAATCGTTAAGGAACCAATAAGGGGAGGATCACTCTTGGCAAAGTGATCCCAAGTAATGGGATCACCAGGCTCAGCGTGAGCCAAGTGAGCCCACCTGGGGAGGATCACTAGGAGGGTCATGATCCCAAGGAAGAAGGATCACGATGAGGTGAGTGATCCAGTTACTATGTAGTCACTCGTTCTGGAGAGCTCTGGGAGTTCTCCAGTTAGCAATCACAACTACAGTTCGCTACAAGCTCGTGAAGCCTACTGTTGAGACAAGTCTTTGTTGTGCACCCTTTGGCTGCACCGAACCTAAGCACCCTTTGCAAGATTACCTTCGATCGAAGCTGAACCCTAACAGGACGGGGTCCTGGAGTAGGTTCGTCACAGACGACGATGATAACTTAGAGTCGACAAATTCAACAAGCTCTAAAACTACCGATAGTCGCGCCGGACTTTCTGCAGCGCCAGTGGAATTGTTAACGTCTCAAAGGAAATACTCTGCAAAGTCCTTCCGTTGCGCCTCTCCGCGAAGCTGGAGTTTCCATTCTAACAGACCGGTTGTTAGACGAAATATTCTTTAAGGGTTGCGGTCGGGTGAGTGAACAAGGGTAACTTTCAATACTTGTAGTCCCAGTTGTTAACATAGTTCTGGGTACAGATACTCGAGGGAGGTTCAGCTTACGGGTTTGGTGAGTCACATTAGTTCCCCACGACTGTTATTATTAAGCTAACAGAGACTAGCCGGGAGCTGTTGGCATTTCCGTTGTTTTCGATGTATCAGGTGCCGCGTTCTGTTTGATGAGGGCATGAACCCGTACCTCTTGAGGAACGATGGATCACTCATCTGCAGTGATTGCAGACATCGTTGCATTGCTTGTTGCCACAAGATCGACGAGGATTTGATTATCTTGGCTGACGGCCGGACCTTCTGCCAGTTTTGCTTCCGATGTAAATTGAAAACTGCGACGGGAACTTAAAAAAGTCTTCGGTACGCCAACTCTTTCAGTGGGATGTACTGCATGGATTGTTACCAAAGCCTCACGGCCCGTCCTGAAAGGTTCGATTCCGCCATTCGCAGACGCCAAGTAGCGTCCCCGAGCTACATATTCGGAGACTGAATGAGGCAGCACTTCCGCTGGCAACACAGCGGTACCACTCATTTCTTGTCAAGGCCATTGCCGGGCGGCGGGGATAGGACTGGGATTGGAAATACGAAAGCGTCATCCAAAACTAGCGGGATTAACAAGGAGATCGATACACGCATACAATTCGTTAAAGACGTGTTTAATTATAACTGGGTAGAGGTAGGTAGCGAGTGATCTCGACCGTCCCATTCAAAAAGTACATTACCCCAAAAGAACGGACGACTGGATCATGGCCACAAGGACTCAAACATAAACAGCCAGTCCTCCCAGTAATTCTCGTAGCTTCCAATGAGCCAGCTCCGGCCATCTCCATCCCCACCGATCCTCCACGGCCGTGTGTACAACCCCTCAGCCTTGAGATGTCGTTTCCCAGCCACATTCATACTAAACGAGCTGGGACTGACCCCTAAGAAATAGTCACACTCCAGCAAGACAATAAAGTCAATCAGCGCCTGCTGGTCCCAAGTCAGCGCCTCCAGCGCGGCCAAATCAGAAGGGTGCTCCCTCAACAACTCATGCTTCGTGACGACAGCCATGCCGTACTGTTCCGCCGCCGCCGTGGTCAGTTTCCGAGCCTCGGTCTTGTTGCCCGTCGCCAGATAGGCCGCCTTGAAGTCCATGCCGCCGGCCTGCTTTAGGTAGGCCCCGCTCTGCTCGTCGAACTTGGGCCACCGGCTCAGCGCATCGCTCTCGGTGCGGAGGTGAAGCCCCGCAAAAGCGCGGTGCCCGGCGTGGTCGTCCGAGAACTGCCGCATGTAGGTCACGACGCGGTAGCCGAGGGCGAGGATGTCCTTGCGGAATCGGAGAAGGCCCCCGTAGCTGGCGACGAACTCCGGGCCGTCGCGGAAGACGGGCCAGTCCCATTGGACGCCCCAGGTGAAGCGGATGATGCGGGGGGTTTGGAAGGTCGGGGGTGGTAGCTTGAATTGCTCGGTTGTGTTCTTGATGAACTCCCAGAACTGTTTGTCGAAACGACCGGTGTGTTTGTTAAGCTCCCGCTTGTCACAACCTCCCCGCTTGCCAAAGTTACGGGGGGTGATCTTTTCGGCCCGGTAAGGTACTGGAGCGTGTGGAATGTCATCCGTTGAGTCGTAAAGCGTAATTTGAGGGCAAGCGGTTTTGAGGCTTTGACGGAAATGGTCCTCGTCAAAGAAGTAGTCGAATCCCTGGTACTCTAGCATGAGGTTTGCGAGGTCCTTCTCTGAGCGTGTTCTGATCTGGGGAAGCACGATTCCTGTTGCCCCCGCATCAATGGCGTAGCGGAAGCATGTGAGGATGTAATTGCGGATATTGCCAATGCCGCCTGAGTTATTATCGCAGACAAACACGATCCCTGGGGTCCATCTGGTGCTCTCCTTGCACACTCGCTCCAACGGCCAGCTGATAAATGGCGCGTCCGCTTTGGAGAGGTCGACACTCTGGTATGCGGGCGGGCTGATGCTGGGGTCTCGTTGGGATGATTCACCATATAGGCACATCTTGGGAAGCCGACATAACCAGATGGTGGCGAGGCTGATCAGACAAACGGTGAGCAGCACACCACGCGGTCGAGCTAAAAAGCCCGGGCTACTGGTAAGTCGCCTCCCCATGGCCCATAGAGATTGTTTTCCGGCTTGCAACTGGGGTTGCGTGTGAATGCGGCCGGGGGAATAGGAAGGTCTTCGCGTCGCAGCAAAGCTCATCCAAAGCCAACACACTGTTCAGATGCCGCATGCGGTTCATGAATGCATGGGGTGTCATCCAGATGCCAAGCTGAAGCGAGCGTGGCCGCTTGGCTTGTTCCAGGTGGCGGGTGCTGCGAATCATATCCCGATTTGCCATCGGAACCATGTTTCCGAGGGCCCGCTGTTGCAGGAAACAAATGGGGGCATGATTCAAGCGAGTTCCTGGATTTAAGCTGACCGGAAAGCTGTGAAAAGGAGGCAAGCATACTCCGTATGTAGTATGAAACAAACATCAATATGAGCCCGTTTACCCTCAGTTGGTGACGTTTAACTTGCCGGTAATAGCGCTTGATGACAGTCAGGGGTTGTAGCCTCGACGAGGCCGTGGGGAATTGTAGTGGCATGCGTGCACTAAACGGAGGCAAGGAATCCGCATGTCGATGCAAGGGAGAGGCACCCTTAACTTTGTTCCGAGATAGGAAAACGAGAATGACAAATTTGGAGGGGGAAAAAACGGCTTAGGAAACACGCATGATTAGGAATGGAATCAATATATATATGTACTAATATGCCAACGGGAATCCGGTCAAGATATCCCGTGAGTTGGATTGGACTATTTGGTGGGACAGATAATATGGCAAGGTTCAATCGCAAGCCTGCAGGAGAGTCGCACAGTCTGGCCAACAAGAAGGCCGATTCAAAACTCAACCGTGGCTGTCAGATTGAGGGTTAGGGATGCAGCTTTTAGCTGTCTTGGCTTTGCGTGAGTGGGACGAGCGATAAGCCCCGCAGGTGAGGGGTGATAAGGCGACCCCACTGAAAAAGTCCAGAGTCCACAGATTTTGACTTGAATTTGCGACTGAATCGGCGAGAGAGCCATAGGCGCAACCTTGACTGGTCAAAGAGACAACACAATGGCAAAACGCACCGCCGACGAAGAGAGCGCGGGCCCTCTAAAGGCCGGAGGGAGGCCGGACGCCATGGATGTCGACGACAAGCCCGCCGACATGGGCGAGTTCGAGGACGAATTCGAGGATGAATTCGAGAGCGAGGACGAGATCATCGAGGCTGGTGTCGATGGTCGGCCAGATGCCGAGCGGGAAGCTGAGGAGGCAATGGACGTCGACCCTGCAGCCCCCGGGACCTTCATTGTCGGCAGAACAAAACTCGAGCCTGGCCAGACTCTCTCTCCCGACCCGACGACATACCGGATGTTACATAACCTGAGCACCCCGTGGCCATGCCTCTCATTCGACATCATACGCGATGGCCTAGGCGACAACCGCAGCGTGTACCCCGCGACCATGTACACCGTGTCCGGAACTCAGGCCGACAGCGCAAAGGCCAGCGACAACTCCATCATGGTCATGAAGTTCAGCGGTCTCAGCAAAATGCAGGGCGCCGACGGGGACGAGTCGAGCGATGACGAAGACGAAGACGAGGATGCTGACCCCATTCTCGAACACAAAAGCATTCCTCTCAACACCACGACGAACCGGATACGAGCTCACCACACCCCATTCCAAGACGCATCGAAACCCCCCACCACACTTACCGCAACGATGACCGAATCGACCAACGTCTTGATTCACGACATCACTCCCCACCTTGCCTCCTTCGATACCCCGGGTACCGTCATCACTCCCCAACAAAACAAACCCATCAGCACGATTCGCGCCCACAAGTCGGAGGGATATGCCGTGGACTGGTCGCCGCTCCACCCCGCAGGCAAGCTCCTGACCGGCGACAACGACGGCCTGATTTACGCCACCACACGGACCGACGGCGGCGGTTTCGTGACCGACACACGCCCCTTCCAGGGCCACACGTCCAGCGTGGAGGAGATCCAATGGAGCCCCTCGGAGGCGTCCGTGTTCGCGTCGGCGTCCAGCGACGGCACCATCCGGGTGTGGGACGTGCGCAGCAAGGCCCGCAAGCCCGCGCTCTCCATGCAGGTCAGCAACGTGGACGTGAACGTCATGTCGTGGTCGCGGCAGACGACACATCTACTGGCATCGGGCGACGATGCCGGTGTGTGGGGCGTGTGGGATCTGCGACAGTGGAAGCCGAGCGCGGGCGGGAATGCCGCGTCGGCGCTGCAGAGGCCGAGCCCGGTTGCAAGCTTCAATTTCCACCAGGAGCAGATCACCAGCATTGAGTGGCACCCTACGGATGACAGTATTGTGGCGGTGTCGGCGGGCGACAACACGGTGACGTTGTGGGATCTGGCGGTCGAGTTGGATGATGAAGAGAGTAAAGACACGGCGGGCGTCCAGGATGTACCGCCGCAGCTGCTGTTCGTGCACTACCAGAACCAGGCCAAGGAAGTGCACTGGCATCCGCAAATACCGGGCGTGCTGGTGGCTACGGGCGAGGAGTTTAGCGTGTTTAGGACGATCAGCGTGTAAGGATGGGTGCAGAATAGACACGGATAGCGATATGTCACATGTGTGGGATCACCTCCAAAGCAAGACGGGAGATACCTATGGTGAATTGCATCGGGAAACATGCACAACACTTATTATACCGTCTTCCAGTGGTTTCGGGGACATCCACATCCATTCGATTTCCCCTACCACAACATTCCAAATCACAAAACCAAATCACGATCTTGCCAACATCGAACCACCTTTCATTGACCTTTCTCCCTCGTTCAAACAACTCCAAACCAACCATATATCCATCCCAACCAACCAAGCATGTCCACACCCGCAACATCAACCCACATTCCAACGCTTGAGACATGCCCCCTCCCACTCATGGTATATCAACCCCAAACTCATCCCCTCCATACGTACAAGGAGCCTAGAATCACCCCTTCCCTATTAATCACGCCCTGACATGAACATGGCCATTCTTCCTTTACCCAACCTCCAATACGCTTAAATCATCCTTAAATCGTGAAACGGCGGCGGGACCGGGAGCCGGAACAAACATGAAGTGAAGCAAGGCTTTTGGCAGCCGTGTCCGGACCTTGGATCCTGAGATGGAAGGACTGTGAAGTTCGTTATAAGTCTCCGCTCGTGTCGAGATTGTTGGTGGGAGATCGCAGGTGGTGGGGAACTAGACATACTCTTTTTACGGCTAGATGCCGGCTAGTGCAACCGATGACCTTGGGTGGGATCTCGTCGGTGTGGGACGTTGTGCTACAAAGAGGTGGATAAGAGACGACAGAATGGGTTGTGATGGTGCTGACCGAGTTCGAAGAAGAGAGTGCAGAGGAGGAGATAGTGTGATGTGTGCAGCGTGCCGCGCATCGTGAAGGGAACGAACCTGTGTACGAAGAGGGATGTGGGTGGTGGATGGTGTCAACGGTTCAGGGGTGGACAACGGCGAGGGCCGGGATCGAGCGGAGTGTGGGTGGTACGCCATGGCGACGAGAATCAATCACTTCGGAGCAGGCCTGCGCGGCTTACCGTTTGAACGTCACTGCACCCTGCTTGTCAGCCAGGTTAGCGACCACGCTGAAACTTACCGGAGGACATGATGTCGCTCGCGGTCCGGATCAGATCGTTGCTTCGCTTGACGCCCTGGGTTGGATAAGTCAGTTGCTGCTCGCCATCCTTAACTTGTTTCCAAGCTGCGGGTCGAATATTAATCGGGGGCCATGCTATGGAACCGCTGGATGTGTCGTGTCAACGTCCGTTCTTTGGAGAATCTCTTGAGGTCGTAAGGGGCGACCGGCAAAACAGAACAGTTGTGGGGGGTGAAGCAATGAATGCTCAAAACATCTCACTATAAAGATGGGAAGAAGTTGGTGACAGTCCCCTTCATTCTCCTCAATGCCAATGGCAATCCACCAATATATACCCCAACCTGGCCATCCTGTGTGTCACGACGTGGCGATCCAGGAGTCGACCCCTCTTCGTCTCGTCATCATGTGGTCAGTATGAGGAGGTGGCACCACCCTAACGGCGTCAAGTGATCTCGCCCCACGAATCACATCGCTAGTACGAAACACTGCTCAGGAACGAACAAACCACTCTTATCCCGCTACCATTTGGTAGTTGACTTTGTATTAGACCCCTTTGGTACAGTGTATCTTGGCAGATCGGCACATACCCATCGCAACGCCTCTGCTTGATTCGAGATCAGCACCCGGATCAACCACCAGCAACACTTCGATTTGCGCTCTGGAAAGTCCGAGAAACTGTAACTTTTATTCTCCTACATGAAATTACTCCCCTAGATGGCTTGCATCTGAAAGCTCTTAACAGTAACCTCGCCTCCAACGGCCTTGGTAGCAAAGTTGAAGACACCGAACCTGTACCCCGTGAAATAGTTCCACGCGTTGCTCATCTTGAAGCCAGACCCAAGCTTGACAAAAGTCTTGCTCCCCGTCCAAGCTGTAGGAAAATGTCGTGGTCCTCTCCGTGCTGGTTCCAAACGCAGGCGTGATATCGGGCCTCGATCCTAAACCAAACATCCGACGTGTTGCTGACAGTCGGGCCCGTCGCTGCCGTCTTGCCCTTTGACGCGGTCGTCCAAGAGCCCTCAGCCAACCGCAGGTCGTCGACAAGCACAATGCGCGCCTCATTGCCCTGGCTTCCACACACCAATGTACCCAGCCCGGTCCCGGAACAGCACTGCGCCGGCCCTGTCCCCGTCCTGCATCTTGCTGACATCCAACCTAAACGTGCCGCTCGACTTGGGCCCAGCAATCCGCCGCGTCAGCGTGTTCCTCGCGCCAAACAAATCATCCGTCACGGTCGCCGTCTTCAGCACCAGCCCGCTGTCCCCAAGCGAAAACTTGCCCGTATCTGGGTTATGGTTCCACTCCCAGTGATGGCTCAACTTCCCACCTTTGAACTCATCCAACCCAGCACTTCCTGGCACCGTCTTGCTGGTCTGCACCGGAATAGGGTAGCTCGTCCCCCAGTTGCCCTGCGAATCGGTCACCAGCTCCGGCCAGCCATCACTCGTCCACTTCAACGGCGCCACCACGGGGATCCGCCCGCCAGGATACGCATCCATAAACGCCACATAATACCACGTCCCATCCGGCGCCTCCACCATGCCGCCCTGATGCGAGAACCCCGCATTCGACAACGGACCCTTAATCCGCGACACCAGCGTGCGTTGGGTGTAGGGCCCAAAGGGCCCCGACGTCGACTTCAGCACGTACTCGGCGTCGGCGGGGCGGGTGACGAGGATGTAGTAGGCGCCCTTGGCCTTGTACATGCGGGCGCCCTCGATCGTGGTGCCGCTGGGCGGGGTGTAGGCGCGCTGCGTGCGCACCTGGCTGAGCCCGTCGGACGACAGCTGGGCGACTTCGATGTTGGGGTTGCCGTATGCCACGTACATGGTGTCGTCGTCGTCGATCAGCAGCCCGCTGTCGTAGTAGCAGGTGTTGATGGGCGGGTGGGACTCCCAGTTCCATTTGGAGGCGTCGACCTCGCCGTCGTTGGCGCCTGCGTTGGTGCCTGAGCTGGTCCAGATGTAGGTCTTGCCGAAGCCGATGCAGCCGTACCAGTAGAATTTGTCGTTGGATTTGCGGTAGCGGAGGGTGGACGCCCAGATGCCCTTGACGTAGGCGCCGGGGGTGCCGCTGGTGAGGTTGTATTGGTTGCCGAAGTTGAGGGTGGGGACGGAGTGCGTGACGGGGGTCCAGTTCACGAGGTCGTACGACTTGAGGACCGGGGCGCCGGGGGAGTAGGCAAAGGTGGAGGAGGAGTAGTAGAAGACCGATCCCACACGGAAGACGTCCAGGTCGGGGTAGTCCTCCCAGAGCACGGGGTTGTTGAAGGTCGTGGCGCGGGACTGGAGAGTCGTGTACACGGCAGCAGCAGACACGCTGCCGGTGAAGAGTGCGAGGAGCGGGAGAAGCCCCCCCCATCTTGGCTGCGACCATGTTGAGGTGTCTGTTGATCCCAGACTAGGACACACTTGTTGTTAGTGCTAGACTTGTCCGCAGTTCCCCGGGTTGATCCCAGAACCGTTGTTGGCGTGATAAATCAGGAACCCTAACTAGCCAAGGGATACCTGACTTATATATCTGGCTTGGGTAGCACTACCGGCGGCCTGGTTGGTGCCGGTAAACCTCCGCCCTGCTATCCATAGCCGACGCAGTAATCCTTGCATCCTCGCCATTGGCGCAATATTTGCGTAGAATGGAAGAAAGTAGTCGCAGATCCCAGTGGTTATGTTGCATTTTAACCAGGCGGGTCAAGCGCACCAATGGTAGCCCAAACCTTCACGGCGGTTGAATTCGTCTTGTCCCTCGGAACGAGGCTCTCCAACTTTGTTTTGGAGATCTCTCGTGATTCGCGCGCAAGCCATGGCCAAGTCATATTTACCTCCCAAACGGAGTTTCTAGCGGAACCTTAGCTAGGGCATGCCCGTCACGAACACAGGCATTTTCGCTCCAACCAGAGGTGGTGGCAATGATGGTAGTGTAAAAAACCTTTCCAGGGCCGTGATTGCAATTGCAGACCCCAATTTCGACGGACTGGAAGTGAGTTGATTGTATTTTCTAGAGTTGTAACAATGAGATAAGGATCCAAGGATGGACAAGAGATGCCTCGGACGAAAAGCAACTAGGCAAGTCCCCCCACGGGAGATACCAGTAAGTGTCAAGGTAGTTCCCGGGCACGCAGTTCTTAGAGACTCGGGAGACGGTGCTCCATTATATCATAGTCCTACACAGATCGCTTCATAATCCTCCACAAATTACCTTCATCGGGCTCGCGCAAGTTCATACGCAATCCAATCCATGCTTTATGATCCACGGATCCTTCGCCAGCTCCTTCGCCGTCTTGCGATCTTCCAGCGCCCACTGCAACATCTTCCTCATAAGCTGTAAAAGCAGCTGTTTGTCCGCGCCCTCCAATGATGTCTCCAGATACTCCAGTGTCTTGGGGGGCAAGGGTTCAGTGTCTGCGATCCATTGGCCTTTAACTATTCCGGTGAGGTTAGCAAAGCGACTGGGACTATACTAGGATTCTTTAGGCCCATAAGTGAATGGTTGCTCACCTGATTCAGAAAAGAACTTGTTCTCATGGTTACCGCGGTTGATAAATCCGGCCGGTGGTGGCCCCAGCAGGGTAATCATCTCAGCAAGGTGAGCCCTTCCTCGATAAACACCATCTTTCCGGTCAATTCCATCGAATAGATTGCGGCCTTCGAACATATCCCATATCTGGTTTTGCGTTAGCAAGGAAAACCTGACAAGTAATAGAAGGTCGGCATGGCTACCAAGCACCCGACGTTCCAAATGTCGATCTTGGGGCCCCACGGGACTTTAAGAATAACTTCGGGGGCCCGATATTGGCGTGGTTGGGCGTAACTGTCCTGCAGTTTGTCTGCAAAAACAGCAGACCCGAAGTCACATAATATTGGCCACCCCATGGCGCTAGTGTCGAGATCCACCATGCGAGTAATATGAATCACCCGTCCGTTCACTTCCTTTCGTGGGCTAGGGTCGTCTAGCTCGGCTTGTTCGAACCTCATGAGGGCCGACTTGTCGTTACATTCAAACATGATGTTGTCTAGCCTGACATCTGGATGGTGTCTTTCTGTCAGCAATTATGCTGGCATAGAATAACAATCGGGTGGCAATAGAATTGCCCGCATGAATGATGCCACATCCATTATGGAGGTAGTCCAGAGCCAGGAAAAGACGATGCATAACCACTGCGAGCATCAACTTGGGGAGTCTTCCCACAGCGGGATTCCGAGCGAGGAAGGTCAAAAGAGTCTCAAAAAGAGGGAGGTGGACGAGGCACTGGTATTCGCCATCCGGACCTTCTGATTGAAAGGTGTCGAGCAACTGCCGTACACAACGTCGACCGGGGTGGGATGGCGGCCCTTCGCTGATGCGCTGATAAACACTGCGTTCATGGTTCACGTAGGAACCCATGAAGCTTGAGCGGGCAAACACGGGTAAATCGTTTCCGGGCGGTAATCAGGGAGTGTCTCTTCATCGATTTTAGCGGTGTTGGGGATCAAGTCGTAGCGAAGATTCGAGAATGACCGAGGAGCTAATGGAGCCCGACGGCATAAGCTCGTGGCCCAGCGAAGTGAGGCCATGGCTTGTTGGTATTGAACAAGGCTGGTGAACGTCGAGAGCGGTAAAGGAAGTCGAAATGATTGAAAGAAATAGCAAAGTCAACAACAGTGAGGAAAATTGGGAAAATGGCAGGGCACGTTTGGGAGTTGGGACGGTGGTGCTGTGTCTAAGATCAATAATAAACAAAACAGTGTTCATCTAGGCTAGCTGACACAAGTAATCAACCCAGGATTAGTTACATGCTTCATTACACATGCAGGAACAGCACGATGTAAAGCAGGGAACTCCACGCACACTCGCGCCATAACAGATATTACTAGGCATGTTTCATATGGCCATCTCCTTTGGTGCTGACATACAACTTCACAGGTGGTACCCGATCAATGTTGTTATTGAATATGTGTGGTGTAGCCGAGGATACCAATTCCAGACACTTATTTTTGACTCCAATGGCAGTAAATGCCGAATTGCATCATGAAGAGTCCCGTGATAAGCCAGGTGCGCTCCGCCAAAATGTACATCAGATTCAACGTGTGCTTACAGCCTATACACATAACTGCATAACCACGAGGCGATGGTCTTCAGTTGAGTTACATGCTGGGTGAGACGTTGAGCGTACTGCCAATATCAGGTGCACTATTATCAGGTTGGTGGTTTGAGGCCGTGTCAAGGGGGCGGGCACAAGGGGAAGGTTGGGAATATCTTCCCCTACCTCACCGACTACAATGTACCTCTTTGAACGATGGCATGCATATCCTTTGAACTCTATCTTCTTAGACTGCATGCTTCAAAGTATTCTATGTCACCGCAGCCAGCTTTGTATTTGCTTTGACTACTCCTGTGTACATAATTCAGCTTTGGACTGCCTGCTGCCAGCCAATTTCTGTCTCTACCATGGTTCCTCTCTGTCACACACTATTTGCTTTTACTATCCTTAGAAATACTCGATGGCGTTTTGGAGATTCTTCAGTTCAGCCCGTCAATCGGTGAAATGGACTAGCTATCCCCTGGAGAAACTTGCTCCGCCCTGACCTGACGCATCTAAGATTTATGCTGCTCGTGGGGCTGTCTCTGTTGTAACGGGCTGTACCCGAGGTGGGCCTCGGTAACCCTCGGCCAGCTCACGTACAAGCACGGTCCACCGAACCCCTGGATGAAGCTATTCCCAGTTGCCCCACAGCGCACCGAACATTCGAGCAATGCGCTCGGGCCACCGCACTCGCGATCATAAAGCAGCCCCACGAGCTGCCAGACTCTCTCATCTTTCCTTTTCTTCTTCAAGCTTAGTGTACTCGTAGAGTCGTCACCAAATAGTTGCAATATACTCCTGGGACCGTTACATCTGTTAAGTCTATCTAGAATACAGTTTCGTCATTACCATCCTACGTTTCCAAAGCCTCATAAGCGATTGGGGCCTCTCTTGTACATTTGCTGACAGCACATACAGAAGGTCGGCCCAATTAAGGAGATAGAGATCCTGTAGGGCCCACTCCCCTCCTTCTCAGCCCGGGAGATTGCAGAGGAACTCATTATTTCACAGGTATCGAAGCGATGTGAGCAGCCCTGTGCACCTGTCAGAGTTCAATCCGGATGACAAGGAACCTATCCTTCGTGTTCGCATTACACCAGTGGATGGCCGTCCCGCGATTCACCATATCTACAGGGACGGCAGGGGGACCATATCTATGGACGATATGAAGGAGTAAGAAACAAAGTTGTGATTCGAGGAAGCCGAGGTAAAGGGGGGGTGTGGTGCAGTCGTTCGAGGATGATGGTCTCTTGGTGCGAGCTGAGGAAGGCGGTGATGAGAGGGTCGTTCTCTAGGCGTTCGTAGGTGCGGCGTTGTATCCGGGGTTGTTACTGGGATGGTCCATCGTTAGAAGGCGGGCTTTTAGTGATGGTACGGTTGGAAATGAGGAAGCTGGTCTTGGATAACCGACAGGTCTGGCGCGCTCCAGGGAGGCTAGTGGGAATTGGGGGTATGGAAGCTCGAGTGAAACAGACACGCGCCGCCAGTGACCGCAGAACAATGCAGAAATTAGGCAGTCGGGGAGTCATGTTCATATATGAGAAGCCAGGGACATGATGGTACATGAGGCAGCATGGTTTATTCTATCCCCATTCAATGCAAACATCAATGGCCAGCATTATCCAACTTAGCTAGCTCAAATAAGTGATGGCATGGGTTGTTGATATCGAGTGAGACAGGGGGTATGGGTTAGTAACGTGTCGAGAGCGACAGAAGCTCAAGTCGAGAACAGTGAACCCCAGAAATCACATGAAATGTCAGCAGCCAAACGGAGTCGACATATTGCCATAGTTATACCATTTAAAGCAGTCACTGGGTAACTCTCTAATCTTTGATCTCAAGATAGGTACCTACCTTAGGAGGGAAGAAACTTGGGGCCAATGGCTGTTCACACAAAACGGGTTGATCTGGACCACACTGCTTGGTAGTACCGTTCTGTGGTTTGATGTCACTTACTACCTACCTAGGCAAAAAGAAAAAAAAAAAGAAAGGTCCAAAGATCGGAGAAAAGAAAGAAAAGAAGGAGAATAATAATATAACAGTAAGAGCGGTTTAGCGAGAGTTTAGGTAGCTTCGGGTCTCGTTTCCTTCCGTCGAGGCGAGGTTTGATGGACATTTGATCTTCAAACTTGGGGTCCGTCTATGTGTCTGTGTATTGGATTGTTACTTGCCAGCCAAGAAATGTGGGTCGCATCACGAGGCTCTAATGCGGTCTGTGCATTTCCCTCTCTTCTTGACACTGACATTGACATTGATAAATGGTGCAGCGAGAAAGAGGGAAGAAGTAGGGGGCTTGTACGAGTTAAACGCAAAACGATCTGATCCGGATGTAGCTAGCGTGCTAAGGCCCTATAGGCCCAGTGCCTCCGGGCGAAATAAATTCCATCCATCCATCCATTGACATTGACTTGGATGTACCCTCAATACCCGCCAGCCTTGCTGGGACTCCCTGGACCTGTGGATTATCAGGAGCCATCTTCTTCGTTTCCGACCGATCCGTTATCAAACGGCCGTTCTCCAACGATGAGTCCTCCAAGGAACAGCTCCGCGTGGAACGTCGCATTTACGCGCTCTTGGGAAACCATCCCCGCATAACGGCCTTCCTCGGGTCACAGCAAGACACTATCATTCTCGAACGACTCCATCACACCCTTCGCCATCGCCTACTTGAAATGCGGAAATTACAACAACGGCCGACGATGCAGCAAGTGACAACATGGGCCTTGCAGACGGCTGAAGAACTCGACGTCAAACAAGTCAACATCGGCACTTACAACGTCTTGCATGACCGTAAGGAGAATGCAAAGCTTTCCGATTTTGCGAGCTCTTCTCTCGACGGCTCTGCTTCCACAGTCGTGCCAAGTGTTCATTCTGCGCACCTGAGCCTGTCCACCATGGAACCCACCGTGCAGTAGGAGCTTTTCGCCTTGAGATCGTTGCTCTACGAAGTCGAAACCACTCGCCGACCCTTTGAAGACAAGACCGAAGAGGATGTAGAGGCTTTGTTTGGGTCAAACCGATATCCGACCACAAATGAAATGATGCTGGGGGAGGTGATACGGAAATGCTGGACTATGACCAGGACCTACTTCAGCGCTAGCGAGGTGGTTGCTGACATTAAGCGTATCCAAGAACACATCGATGACAACAAATATGCGAGAAGCCAGCCTCATGAGGGTACATGAGCCAGCATGGTTTATTCTATCTTAAATGTGCATACATCAGCGGCCAGCACTATCCAAGAGAGCCAGCTCCAGCTCCCCGAGTCCCCCAACCCATCCTCAACCATCCCAGCGACACTCTATCCCTCTCCAAAGCCACAATGCCATACCGCTACTCAAGCCCAGTGAGTCTTTCCGTCGGCGCCAATGTAATACTTCCTTCCGCTGGCGGGATCAACCATGAACTGGACAGTCTGGAGAGGCTTCCGAGTAGGAACCTTGGCCGACGCGGCCGGGGCCTTGGACGACGGGGCCTTGGACGAGGATATCTTGCCCGAGGGCTGCTGCTGGGCCGGGGCCTGGGCGCGGGCCGCCTTCCACCTAGGCATCGGGCCATAGACCTGGACGTTGCGCTTCTTCTGCTTGTCGTCGAGGATGAAGGGGCGGTGGGTCGACGGGTCCTGCTGCACTTGGCAGGGGACGCGCTGGCCCTTGTGGAGGTAGTAGTTCTGTCTCTGCGAGTTTACAAACACCAACAGGATGTTGTGAGGGTTGGTGGTGCGGCCCTTCAGGGTCGTCGTCTTCACCTGGGTGCCCTGCGCGTCGCAGGCGCAGTAGTTGTCGTCCTCGTCCATGTAGAAGTATCCACCGTAGGCGTCCTTGTAGACCTTCTTCTCCCAGGCGGGGCCGTTATCGTTGCCACCACCACCGCCGCCGCCGCCGGAACCGCCGCCGTTGTTGTCGCTTGGATCCCTCTGGGGGTTCTCACTAGCAGGCGCGCGCGCCCTGAGATACAGCCGCTGGTACTCCCGGAGGACCCCCGGCAGGTTGGGCGCCGTGGTACCCCAATCGATGATGGTACCCTCCAGGGCCACCTCCTGGCGCCGGACCCTAGTGAGGATGCAAGTCCAGTAGTGCCCTTGGGCATACCGGAGCCCGATATGAAAGGTGGTCGATGAGGCCGATCGGCCTTCGCCGTGCGCGGCCTGCCAGGTGGTTTGGCCCCATGCGGTCGCGCTGAGCTGGTCTGGGTTGGCATTCTCCAGGTAGACTATCATGTCCTGCCGGGTGCGCTTGTCCAGCGGGTACGTGCTAAACGACGACATGATGGCGGATTGGCTGGGGTTACCGGATCAAAGAAGCAGGTGGGGGAATGACCTGGGTAGGTTGGAGTTGTGTAGAGGGAGGTAGTGGAAGTAGAAAGGTGTTGTCTAAGATCTCGGCCTGCGAGAGATGGTAGAGTAGAAGGTTGTAGTAGTGCTGGATGAGTTGTGTTGTGATGAGTTGGAAAGTCTGTTGATGGCGAGGCATCGTCAAGTGCTTTTTACTTCTGATCGTGTCAAGGCCTCTCCTTCATCTCGTAAACCATTGCACTTTTGCTGGATGAATCTTCAGTCTACGAGTCCAGTACGAGGAACCCCTGAGCCGGCCCCGGGGCCTTCGATCTACGCCTCCATGATCTTTCTTGGCCGCCAGAAAGGAGACAAAGAGGGTCTGAAACCTCTCTCGGTTTAGTGACCATGGACTTTGCTTATTGTTACGAGCAGAACTAAATATCAGAGGACAGTTCATTCAGCTAGCATGTCACAAGGTGCCGCTAGACCTTCGTATATTTTCAGCCTCTCGGCCGTCTTTCGCGGTCTGGGGTCAGTTTTTGCAAGCCAGCCTGGGTTGTTAGAGTGTGAAATTGTGAATGTGACACGTGCGACTAAGAAAGTACGAGCACAAAAACATGTAAGGATGTGGCAAGGCCAAGTTCAAACTGGTAGGGCTGAGAGTCCCGCCAGCTGTGCCAGTGAACTTGGAATCGAAACTTGTAACCGCGCTGGCTGGCCTCACAGCGTGAGTGTCTCAGGGGGCCGGCCTGGCGGGGACAGGGGGAGAGGCGCTTCAACCAATCGCCGCCAGCTTGATGATTTGTGGCGGCGAATTACAAAGCATGTCGAGTCTTGCACCGTCAAAATAAAGACATGGTTTGTCCTAAAATAACCTCGCGTAGCTGTGCCGCTTCACTTCTCACCCATTGTGGGTTCTGAGGCTCTTCGACATCGCAACCGGCACACGCCGCGGGTACAGTCATCTTCCCAGTGTGGAAATGGTATGCGTGGCACATCTCATGATTCCCCATCTGTGATAAGACGACGGCACATTGATCACGTAATTCGCTCGTAAGTTCAACCGTTCTGCGACCACCATCACGGTATCTCACTCACTCATCTTCTCGACGAGAAACGGCTACTAAGGACGCACGTTGGGTAGCTGAATTTCAGGGCACATTGCTGCTCTCGTTTTAACTATATTATATCTCATACCGTCCCAGCCTGCCACCGCCATGGACGATTTGGAAATGTCAGTAAATGCAATCATCCTTGGCTCCGGTGTTCCAAGCCTTCTTACTATCATTTGAGATTGATTGGACCTTTGTCATCCCGATTTTTTTTTTTTTTTTTTTTGGATGTTTCCGTTGCATTAACCATCACTCACCACTATGTCCAGACCCGGCGGCACCGCGCCCAGGCCCGGCAGCACCGCGCGGCCTAACCCAGGGCCATACAGCACGCCGCTGCAGCTCCATGTTCTGAAGAGTTTCTGCAGTCTGCCGACTAACCGACCTGCCACGGTAACCAACCTCGCCGTCTACTCCGTCACCATGTCCCCAGTCATGGACGTCATGGTGCGGACCGAGACCGGCGCTGAGCTGCGGGCAGTCCTAAAAGTCTACGACTGCCGGCTCGGCAGAGACCTCCGAGAATGCCTTGGAAAACACGTACCTCACACGGCAGCGGTCGAAGCTGCTTTCCAATCCTTTGTGAAAGCGAAGAAAATAACGCCATTTCTCCGCGAGCTGGCGAGAAGGTCGAAGAAGACTCCAGCTCCTCACAGCCCTGGCACTTCTTGACGACGCTGGGCCTGACTGCCAGGCCGAGTACGAAGCGGCGCTCTGGGCAAAATGTGAGCAATAGTCAACGCCGAAAACCGAAGCCTATGACCGTCTGAGCCACCTGCAAGGCGAATCCATCCCGCGAATGCTGGCCCATGTGCGCGTCATCGTCCCAGTGCCCAAACTTCCGTCCGAGATGAGCAAATACTTCGAACTGAAGGGAGTCCTCGTCGAACGCATCTCTGGATATAGCCTTGCAGACCTGGGCACTTCGCCGTTGGCACCGAGTGACCCCAAGAAGTGGCCCGCCATAGTACAATCGGCGGTCAACCTGGCCCATACTCTCGACGCAACCGGTGTCCTCATGGGGGACTGCGCGCCTCGCAACGTGATTGTGGATAAACGCACACATAAGCCTTTCTTCATCGACTTTGCCCAGGCCGACTTCAAGGACGTGCTCCTCCGGGAATGGCACGATCCACGAGACAAGAATTTTCATCCTGAGTACGAGTACTGGAAGGCCGTCGCGGCAGGGAACAATCCCGGGGCCATCGGGGCGGAGATGAAATCCAAGTTGAAGAGGGCTAAGAACATGGAGCTACAGGGAATTGTCTACCCAGATTACGAGAGTATCCTTGCGGAAATTCTGCGGTCGAAGAAGGCTAAGGGGAAAAGGCCGGGCTGATACCACCCCTCGCGTATGTACCCAGGCTTGGGCGCAAGCCCAAAAGCAGCGCGTTCGTTACCTCCGCATAAACCTCATAGGCGGGCGCCTCCCTTCTACACCCTTTATTATGTGTCTGGCTATCAAAGGCTCACGATGCTCGCTTCTCTCTCTTTCCAAGGGCAGGCATTGATCACCACCCACGAGATTCAGCTTCAGGGTATTTGTCGGCGAGGTATTTTCCTGCCATTTAGTCGTATTTACTACCGCATTCCCCTATATACAAAGTCCGGTCCTTCCTCACTATTCCTTCCACAAATTGACTTGACGCACAGCCCCCTCCTCCGCCCTTACATCCGCTCACGAATTCCCCCGTTGGGTTAGCCACCAACAGCTTCTTCAAGTTCCCACCCGTGTTGAAGACGACCTAGCCAAGCCCCCCTCACCCCCAAAGAAAGCCGCCCCCCAACAGAAACTCAGCACGAGTTCAGCATGCTCGTCAGCGCCGACTTCTCGGCCGACGTGATGCTCAGGCCGTACGAGTACTTGACGTTGACCCAGCTCTTGGAGTAGGTGCAGTAGAAGGAGCTGAGGGGCGGCTTCCACTTGTCGGGCGACTGGTCGCTCTTGGCCTGGTTGACGTTGTCCGTCACCGCCCACAGCTGCGGGATGTCGATGTCGTTGGCGAACTGCGTGCGCTTGGCGGTTGACCAGCTGTTGGCGCCGGACTATTTGGGGTGGGGGGTGAGTATAATCGTTGGGACGGAGGGGTGGGGGGTGGGCTTACAATCCAGGCGTTCTTGAGAGGGACCATGTGGTCAATGTCGACGTCGGAGGCGGCTGTCCAGGTGGCGCCGTCGTAGGGAGAGAACCAGGTGCCTGAGGTAGCGGTGCAGGCGTCGTTGGTGACGACGTTGCTGCCGTCACGCTTGAGGACGTACTCCCTGTGTGGTGTGTTAGTTCCGAAACGACAGAGTAGCTTCGAGGAGAAAGGAGAAAGAGAGAGCTCATACCTGGTGTTGCAGGTGCCGCTAGCCGTTTGCCAGTGAGGGAACTTCTCGCGGCTGTAGGCGCCGTCGTCATACGAGGCCTTGACAGTGAGAGCAGCCAGCTGGCTCTTGGCCGTCGAAGCCGAAGGGATTCCCGGCTATCATCACAAATGAGTTATCGACAATGCCAGCATTGGAGACGCGTTATTCGCAATGGCTTACCGGAGTCGGAGCTGGCATGGGAATGGCGGAGACCGCCACAGCCAGAAGGGAACCAAGAATGTACGACTTCATCTTGTCTGCTGGATTGCCAAAGAGCTTTTGTCTAGACTACGGAGTCAACTACTACTTCTCTAGGAGCAGGACGTGGCCATAAATAGTGATCCGTTGGATCCTAGACGGCGGCATCCTCCGACAGGCGGTAACAACCAGCCCGCGACCCCGGTAAGACTGCCATAAATGGAAGGCGTCGACGCGCTTGTCTCCGCGCCGATCTTCCAATCTCAGCTTCCCATCCAGCATGCACAACCGTCAAACTCCGAACTGCCCAGCCCCCACCCAAGGTGTCCGGCGCCTCCAAGTGCCGCCCTCAGCCAATGCCGGAGCGATGTTACCGATGCTCGGTGAGCTTCTTAGAACCCAAACCTCCCAATGTCCAGTGGATGTGCGAGACACGACCACGTCGGAGAAAGATTGTGGGGGACCTGGGCCTCCCTTTCTTGTCAGGGGCATGAAACCCCCTGAATCCGACACGTGCGGGTCGCAACCCCGCAAGCCAATGGACGACACTATTCCCAACCTTCCTGATCGGGAGCTTTTGAGCGGGAGCGGCCGCGGGCCGTCCAATCACCCCGCGATTCACAACAACGTTTGCCGTCCATCATTTCCACATGGCGCTGTCTCCGCCGCTTGGGAGCTGCCATAGCCCACTGGCGAAAGCGCGCTTGCCAGAAAGCGATACCGAACTGTAAAGTAGCACAGAAAGTAGTAGCATTAGTGCATGCTACTATCTTGATGCCGAGGGGAGATAACAAATGTTTGGCTAATGCGCAATGGGGTATCCCAAGTCGTGTATTACCTGGCGTCTCAAGTGCTGAACCCTAGATTACAAACTCAGATACAAAGAGCAAGGCAACGAAATGTGAATAAAATCGCAAGAATAAAGGGGCGATAAGGTCGATCCCATCACAGCACCCTGGTAGTCTAAATGGAATAAACAACTACCGGGCAGCGCCAGCCTCCTCCCCGCCTGACTTCCCATCATCCGCGCCAACCTTCGCTGTAGCAGTCGGCGCGGCTTCTGCGGCTTCTGCGGCTTCTGCTGAGCCCACCGAAGTCGTTGTCTCTGTGGCCGTCGTCTCCGTGGCCGGTGCCTTAGAAAACGGATTGATTCTCGTGGGCATCAACATGCTCGGCATGGCGGGCATACTTGGTACACTAGGCATGGCAGGCATGCTAGGTAGGTTGACGGCGGGAATTGACACCTTGGGCATCTCGACAGTGGGCAGCTTCGACGGTAGGTAAGATCGTAAACTGGTCCCCGTCTGCTGAGCCACTCCAAACAGATGGCGGAGGTAGGCCCGTTTCTGGTCGACTTTCCCATCCCCCCCGGCGTCGCCAGTATCCCCAGAGAGTTGTTCGTCGATTTCGTCGGGCAGCGGCACAAGTGAGGCTGCCGCGGCGATATCGATCGGTGACTCGTCCGGGACCTCGTCGTCGCTGCATTTCCAGCATCCCTCAGCGTCGTCTCGCCTTTCTCATCTCGCTTCAACCTGTGCAACCTCGCCAGTATCAGCGCTCGCAATCGCCTCCGTCTCCTCCGGTTCGGCCAGCAGCGACTCCTGGAACTTAGGATCGTCGTACAACTCCGTCTCGTCGTTAAACCAGTCCACCACCAACTTAGGCCGCATCATTCGTCATCCGCTCATACTCCCCATTATCCCCCTTCCTAAACAACCCCACATGCGCCGCAATCTCATCCTTCGCCCCCTCCACCACATGCCTCACAAACAACCTCCCCTCAGGCTCCCCCCTCCCCGGCACCGCGCAGAACGTCCGCTCGAGAACAAAATACCCCCCACTCCAATACCCATTCTCCCCCAACGACGCGTACACATCACACACACCCACCCCCCTCAACCCCGCCAACCTCTCCAGCCGCCTGGTCAATTCATTCTGCTTCAGCAGCGCACCAACAAACGTAAAATGATCCGCCAGCCACGCAAAGCTCTGCCCGACATTGCCCCGGTTCACATAGGCCAACCCTTGCCCCACCGCCCCCACCGATTGCTGGTAGCCCTGGACGATGTCGGCGCGGGTTAGCGCGCGCACGCTGCGCACGCCCTCGAGGATCTGCCGGCGGTGCGCGAAAGCGGCGACGCCCCCCGCGGCGATCACGCCGACGGTGCCGGTGCGGAGGGCGATGAGCTGCCAGGCTTTCCAGGCGGGGCTGGTGGTGGTGCGGGTGGCGGTGGTGGATTTGGCGATGCGGTTGGTGGCGGAGCGCAGGGCGCGTTTGGAGGCGAGGCGGGAGAGGGCGGCCGGGGTGGCGGCCGAGAGGGCGGTCATGATGTTGAAGACGTGGCTGACTTTTTGGTAGTTGGAGAAGGCGCCGTAGACGAACATGGAACGGGCGAGGCCGTTGAGCGGCGTGTCGAAGGCGAGGATGCCTTGGATGAGCGGGAATATGGGCGTGGGTGCTGCTGCGCCGTCGGGTGGGGGGGTTTGGCGGTGCTCGTCGAGGATGCGGAAGAGGCAGTCGGTGGCGACGAAACCGCTGTTGAGGGGGTTAGTGCTCACAGGTTTGGTGGGGTGGTGGTGATGGGTGGGAAGGGCAGGAGGGCCTACCCCATGGAATGGGCGACTAGGATGACGCCGACTTTTCGGTCGTTTGGTGGCCAGGGGCTGTCGAGGTGCGCTTTACGCAAGTTCATCACTTGTTCTTTCAGCCTGCCTTGTGCGTCAGAGTGCGGCACCGGGTGGATATATACATGTAACATCCCACTGGCTCGGGAGAATAAGACATACCATTCCAGAAAGGCGGCGGTGCTTTGGGCCAGCTCTCCGCGGGTTTCATATTTTGGGTAGACGGCAGTGGCCACCTCATGGTCCGGCAAGTTGTTGGCGACGGTGTCCTTGAGATGGGCTGGGAAGTCGCCGAAGGTGAAATCGCTCCCCTGGATAAAACGGCAACACAAAACAGTCAGTAAACCGTAGGGAATTCAACAACACAACCACGCAAGCGCGACTTGCCTTGAATCCATGGATAAATGCGAGGAGCAGTATTCTTTTCATTTTCACGATGCGCAGGCGTGAGCGTGTATTTTATTTTGTGTTGTGTTGCGTGCCCAAGGCAGTTTCAAGCTCAGCTGAGCTGGAGCGCTGAAAGATCCCCCACCGCAGCGCAGTGGCGCTCAGTCGATGGGCGCAAAGCTGGAAACTTGAAACTTGAAGTTGTTACCCAAAACGTCATCGCAAACGTCATGGCCAGCAACCATCAATTCAGCCTCGGCCAATCAACGGCGATAGCGGGCCAAGACTGGAAAGCTTATTCAACGAGGTGAAGACCAAAGAGTCTTATTGCTATTGCCGAAAATGATGGTTCGGGGAGACCAATTTGCCCAAATTTAGATTTCGAACAACCATATGCAGTGACCCTAACCCTGATGATTTCCCATGCGTCCTAATCAAGGGGCGCGGCAGAGCTGACGGGACTGGCCATAGGTGGGGTATGTAGTTCTTGCCGCGCGACCGGTTTGCATGGGGCAGCAACATCGTTACAGAGGATAAGTACTATCAATGGCTCCCCAGATTCTTCCCCTTTTACCCAACTCCGTCACAGGAACGCAGCTATTCCAGCTGGCGTATCCTCTCTTCCCAAAGCCTGTACATTCTCCTTCCCCGGCTTAAGTCCTTACCTTTTTCTGCCTTTTTTTTTGCGGATCATCATGGGTTAGGGAAACGTAAGCCGGCTTGCACGAGTCGAGGTAGTCTTTAAGAGTATTCAACGGTCACGAGACGGGTGGTATTGGGCGTGTTGGGGACGGCGAGAATTCCCAGATCCGAAAAGAAAGGCTTGCTAGGTACCGGCGGATTCTGAGAAAGAATTCCATTTCGTCTCCCACTTTCAGCCATAAGCACCCCAGACGTTTCATATCACCGTAAGCGAGCACCGAAAACACAACCCTAAAAGCTATGACATTTGTTGGTATCTCAGGGCCCTGGGCCTGGGTGACAGTCATCCGGCCGCCCGCTGGTATGGTAAAACTGTTATTTCAGGGCGGAGCCGTCACCTGCGGGTCATCCGGCGGATCACCCACTAAAAATGCCCTGAGATAACCACTTGTTACTGCCTAGACCAGCTAGCTAGTACATCCTTTCAGATATCTATTCCATCAGTTCTAAACAAAAACAATCAACGTCCTCACCCATCCTGCAGCACGACACATAGGTAGCCAGCCCTTGTCATGCCGTCGTCCACCGAAAGCCCCAACATACTTAGCGGCGGCGGCGGATGGGTTTGCACTGTCTGCAGGAGTGATGTCCGCACACCTCATAACCGCCGCCGCCGGACGACGACGACCCGGAGGAATAGTCGACCACGTCGCTGTGCACACAGGACCTGCTGGTGCCGCTGTTCTGGCCACCGCATTTGTGGCACGTCCAGCCGTTCGTCCGGAGGATGTAGTCTCTGTAGCACGTGGTGGAGTTGCAGACTTGGGTGTTGTCGCTTGTGACGTGGGTCGAACGGCCACCGCTGTCGGAGTGCCTGCAATGTCTGGCTGCATTTCCGGTTCGGCGTGCTCGAGCCCGTGCTGTGCTGCAGTCCCTGGGGTCAGAGGGACTCCAGCTCTCTCTGTAGACGTGTCCGCACCGTCCGATGCGCTGATACTTGCGGCACATGGTTACGGTTTGGGGTGTCGGTGGTAAGGTTCGTTGGTAGGAAGAGCTGGGCGAAGCGGCGACAGTTGTCGAGCTGGGCCTCGGATATGGATGTTCAACGTCTCGCCGGGCGATAGGGACCGTGAATAGCGCGGAAGTCAAGATGGCCAGTCTGGTTGAGTTGATGAGCTGCAGAGCAGAGCCGAGAGACAGCACTGATCCTCGGCTCTTATATCCTGGCAAGCCCGTTGATGAAGTGCTGTGCTACGGCCTCGGCCAGGGGCAGCGTTGTATCAACCTCGACTGTTTCTAGCCAGGCTGCCGGCCGGCCACACCACCTGCACCATGCCGGCTTCGCATTCTCACGACCAGGACCACTCATAGCATGATTCACCGCGGTGAGACAATTTGTTGGCATCAGAACGGGCCGTCCGAATGGTTCTGATGTTTCGGCAAGGCGCGGACGGAGGTGGCGGCCAAGGTTGATATACTTTGCGCCCCCAACAGCGGTTTCGTTGACTCTAATATGTCTCAGGAGTCAGCTGGGCCAACACTGCGCGTGGTAGTGTTCGTGACATCGGTACCGTGTTGCCCCTTAACTGTGAGTCTCAGAGTCTGACTGTCTGTGTGACGGTGTCCCGCCCATGGGTCGCCTCGCCTCATTTTAAAAATAGAATTCGGGGGCCGTCTTGTTTTTTGGCCCTGTCGGCAGGCACGGCAAACAGATTTGGCCCCCTGGGCTTCGTCGGTCGTTTTGGTTTGGAGGCTGTTAAGCAAGCGCTTGATGCCCCAAATGCCAAGGTCAATTTCTGTGCACAAAGGTCAGCCCCTGAGTGGACTTCTGCGAGCGCTGATTACAGCTTTAACAAGCAACTGGCTGGCTCCCTCACGCTGCAAAAGGTCCAAACCCCTCTCTACGATTTTTTTTTGGCCGCAGATCGCGCACCCTTTGTGTCAATCTCTCGCCGAACACTCGCCGTCACGAACACTATTAGCATTTGCTAACATCGGCACATATTGACATGGACTCATCCATGATGGCATCTACTCCGTCTGCCAAACCAGGCCGAATCCTGGCAAAGGCCATGAGCGATCGTCTCGGCCACGATGGTCCCGACGACTGCATCACATCCATCCGCTGCAACGGCAGGGAGTTCCACGTCGAAATGTCGCCTTTCTACATTTGCAATTCGCCAGCTATCGAGTCTCGTTATCGCAAGTTCATCGCAGCTGTCAGAGATGAGTCGGAATGCGATACAGATGAAGACGAGCATCCGGAAGACGTGATGGACGACTTTCACGCTTGGCTCATCAATGCTTTCGAGCCCGTCTTCTTGCAAGTTGCCCCCGATATCCCGCCGTCTTTCGACCCCGCAAAGATTGCAACGGGGGAGGCTCGCCCACTTCTTTCCGAATACTTCTTCCCGGAAGAATACCGCTGTCGGCTTGAGGTAGAAAACGATAAGCCGTTCCCTATCTTTATGAGAGACGAGGAGACCCGCTGGGTTCCGCCCTTAAACGACATCGAGCCTGAGCTTGCCCAACAACTTGGGCAGTACGTCAAGTTCTTCCGTCCCATTGAAATTGAAGTCTCGTTTGAGAAGCCCGACTCCGCCCTCTCCGAGACACCGACACGGGTTTTGGTCGAGCTGGACGATTCGGGCCACAAGACGCTTTGCTTCTTAAAGACCTTCGCGCTAGGCGACCATCTAGGGCTTGAAAACGAGCTCGAAGCCCACCTCCGGATCCTCAAGTCTTCCTTAGCACGGGACGGCGTACGCATTGCTCGTCTTCGCGGGGTTGTAGCGGTAGAAGAGGATAGCCAAATCCTGGGCTTGCTGCTCACGTACATTGACCGTCGCCGCGAAAATGGCGGGCTCTTGTTCGAGGACCGCCTGCTCCACACGCCCATCCCCTTGCGACAGCGTTGGGCGAGACAGATTCAAGAGACAGTCGAGCAGCTTCATGGCGCGGACCTTGTCTGGGGCGATGCCAAAGCGGAGAACGTCATGATTGACAAGAACAATGACGCTTGGTTGATTGACTTTGGCGGCGGTTATACTGAGGGATGGGTCGATGGGGACAAGGCCGGCACCGTGGAAGGGGACTTGCAGGGGGTGGCTAGGATTCTCGAGCATCTCTCCAACGAAGAGTATGAGCCGTACCCTGACTCTGATGATCGGGAGGAGGATGTATAAGACGGGATGCTACTTGTAGGTACCAGCGACATGGATCTGTCTTCGTATATCGGCTGGCCCTGTCCAATCAAGGTTTGCCAGAAACTCTCGAGTCATAGGTGTTTACGTTAGCAGCATCTGATGCAGTTGATACAATTTGTACACCCAGGTATCCATAGATCAGATAAAAAAAGACAGGCGCCCAGTCTGTAACGCGCCATGCCCCCCAGGGCTATCTGTCAACGCAACAGTACTGCCGAGAAAACCCGATTCCTTCTGTCCCAGCGCGCCGAGAAAGTCGACCTAAACTTGCCCGATGCCATTGTCTTGCTTTCGGCGTCGTCCTAAGCATTTGGTGGCTATAAATACGAGCATTCAGCGGGCCGGGCGACGGACACAGAGTTCAGCGACATCGCCTGCTTCATTCAGTCCACTATTTCCGGGGCCGTTGCCTGCAACTAAGGTCATGGAAAACGACGAGAGGCACTACGGAACTATGTCTCTCACTTCCTTCCTCTTCAATGTTAGGTATTTTGTTCACTCGCCCTGGTACCCTCATTCGTCCCCTCAGCCTTGTGGTTTTCCTTCCACTCCGCCCCCAACTCCTGAACACAGCCCCTGAGCGGGGCTGAGTGCTCACTGTGCTCCTACACTTCCCAAAATTGCCTTAGTGCTCCCTTAATTGGCGAATGGTTTGCTATCTACTCATCTACCATTCTCTTTTCCATTTTCCAATTTATGAAGGGACGGCGGTAGGGTGACACAGCAGTTAGATTCGCCAACCGGGCCGATCATCAACCATGAAGTAAAGAAACCCATTGACTGTTAAACAGAGGCCCTTCCCCCGCCGTGATCATGATGTGTTCGAAGGACTTCGTCGACTCTTGCTTGATTGTACTATGCCTTCCGCTTAAGGGGTGGAAAAAGTTTCAATATGGCGCCGGCATATGCTACAATAGATCCGGCTACACTTGGCCTAGCTCCGTCGAAGTCAACGTCACCACCCCCACCGCCATCAACATCCGCTCGTCCACCGCCTCCTCCGGCATCAACATCAGCTCCTCCACCGCCTCCTCCAGCATCAACATCAAAGCCGCCATCCCATCGCCAAGCGTCGTCAACACCAGCGCCATCGCGTTTAGCGTCAACATCCATTCCACCACCACCTGAAGAATCGACCTAGTCGGCAACGACTTCTACGCCAAGAAGCACCGACACATCTCGGCCTGTGACGTCGTTCCCATTCCTCCCTCTCACGACAGTCTTTACGCCTCCTGCACCCGAGTGCACCCGTCTGACTTCGGTGGAGGGGCCTCCCGACTACTTGAGATTCGCTACGGACCGAACATGCTTCCCGCCTAGCTACACTTCGGGCCCCGGGGGCTTTTTCTTCTCGCCGGGCATTGCATGCCCAAGTGGTTACCGGACGGCCTGCCAGGATTCACGGGGGATTGAATCAGTTACTACAGTGACCTGGTTAGTAGTATCCATACGTCTGGAGCACGGCCTATGTATGAGCCGACCGTGACTAATGCTGATTTAGCTGCCCAACCCTCGAGAATATGCCTGACATGCGCTGCGTCGGGGGCAGTGAAACTTCCGACACGATGGACTGGTTTCAGTGCCGCGCCACCGTGCCGGCCAGCGGGATGACACTCTCGCTGGTTGGGTCAAACACGGAAACATATACTGCATTGCAGACAGTCATCTCCCCGGAGGTCATTTACGCCTACGGCATAAGAATGGTCTATGAGGCGACTGACCTCACGACGGCCTCACCCACTGCCTCAGCTACCAGTTCCATTACGAGCTCCGCGACATCGCCGCCGTCTTCTGGATCCAAACCCGCCGCCAGTTCGGGCCTCTCCATCGGCGCCACCGTGGCCATCTGCGTGGCAATAACCTTGGCCGTGTTGGCGGTGTCTGTCGCGGCTTTCCTTTTGTGGCAGCGGAAAAGGAGACAACGCCAGAGCAGAGCAGCAGCTGCGGCTTGGGAAAAGAGCCATGAGCTGCCGGCAAAACCACACGAGCGCAGCCTGCCAAACTCTCCCCATGAGATGACCAGCGATGAAGTGATGGCTGAGATGCCTGGTACTCGGAACACTGTCGAGTTGCCTGCACGTGAGTAGAGAACACAGGTTCTGGATTGGGATTGGGGGGGCACAAGAAGGGCACAAAGGATACTGTGATAAGTAATAAAAGACGCGGTCATAGCCGGGGGTTGGTCTGGTACAAGGAGGGTGGTTACAGTTCATTGCAGAGTTTTAGGTAGTTTCCAACTCGGCAGCAAGCGACGGAGACATACCAGCTTATTCTCTTACTTTACGAAGTGTCCTGTTGTAATGGATCTCTCCACACATATTGGATTTGGGCTTCTCTTCTCGCCCGGTCGTAAATATTGAACATAATTCCAACACCTTCCGGGTCCGCGTTGTCCCCCAGCCCCCCTTAAGCACGTCATTTTTTCGTTCTCCATAAACCCCACAGGACATTAATACATGTAGGTATCTTACCTTGGTAGGTCAGGTAGGTAGGCCTGTCGTATCAGTGTACAAATGCTTTTCTTTAAAAAGAGTGTAGTTAGAAGGGAAAAGGAAACGACAGAGTAACGAAAGAAAAAAGAAAACAATAGGAATGAAAAAAGGCAAAAAACTATCGACTTTTACTCCGGTATCTTGGCCTCAGGGAACGTCAAGACCGACTTGCCGTCGTTATCGCGATGTGGTGGAGTGCTTAGACAACGTTAAACCTAAGGGGATTGACGAGTGGGCTGAAGCTTCGTGGGATCGTTATCGAGATGCGCATGGGAGTCTTGTTGAAACGTGCGATGCAATGATGGAACCGTATTGCGCCACTGATAACGCCCTACGGGGAGGTGGTGACTGGCCTCGCTGGCGTACCATCAGAATGGTGCAAGCCTTGGTCTTGGTGGCAACATCAACACCCCTGGTCCCCTTGTTGATGGCTTTGAACAAGCCTCCCCACACATCGAGAGGACACCATATAAGAGGCCAAAGCTGCAATGCCACCTCCGCGGAGATGTAATTACTGTCTCAGATTTAGCCCAGGCGTGCTGCACATCCTAACCACTCCCGCTCCCGCTCCCAGATCCCCGGGACATGACAGTCACCACCAAGGAGGACGAGTCCTCCAATCGGGCCTCGAGCCGCAAAGAAGGCTCCCCGCCCTCCGTGTCCATTTCCCAGGAGAGCCTTACCGATTCCGAAGGTTATGGGTCATCTACCGAGCACGTCTTCTCGGATCCTGCCGTGGCTTCTCACTGGCGGGATGTCTTCGAGAAGGCCGGGTACGAGAACCGGCACCGTTTTGACCCATCTTTCACATGGTCCGCCGAAGAGGAGCGGAAATTGCTCCGCAAAATCGATTTCAGAATCATGCTCTGGTTCGTACTGCAGTCTCTGTGTTCCCAAGGATGTTGGGAGTTTGAGGCGAGGTGGAAACTGACAGTTGATGATGCAAACCAACAGGGCTTGGATCATGTTCTGCGCATTGGATCTCCATCGACGCAACATTAACAGGGCCATTTCAGACAACATGCTGCCGGAAATTGGTACAACCATCATCCCGTCATATATTCGGGGAACAGCCTCTTGACTAACTTCTGTGACGTGTAGGCATGAATACCAACGACTTCAACTACGGTCAAACCATCTTCCTCGCCTCGTTCCTTGCGGCCGAGCTGCCGAGCGGCCTGATCAGCAAGAAGCTGGGCGCTGATCGCTGGATCCCTTTCATCATGACAGCCTGGTCCATCACGGCCGGCTCGCAGGCCTTTTTGAGCAACAAAGCGGGTTACTACGCTATCAAAGCCCTTTTGGGTCTCCTTATGGGCGGTTTTATCCCTGACATCGTTTTGTGGTTGACGTATTTCTACAAATCGGGCGAGTTGCCCACACGGCTTGCATGGTTCTGGACGGCCTTGAGCACTGTCAACATTGTCGGCTCTTTGCTTGCCGCCGGCATTCTTCAGATGCGCGGGGTCAGGGGGTGGTCAGGATGGCAATGGCTCTTCCTAATCGAGGGCATCATCACTCTCATTGCCGGCCTCTTTTCCTGGGTACTCATGCCCCCCGGCCCATGCCAGACTCGAAGCTGGTTCAGGGGCAAGGATGGGTGGTTCACAGACCGGGAGGAGTCTATCATGGTCAACCGGCTGCTCCGCGACGACCCCAGCAAGGGCGACATGAACAACCGGCAGGCCGTCGGCCCCTCGCTTCTGTGGAAGGCAATCAAGGACTGGGAGCTGGCACCGGTGTACCTGATCGGCCTCACCGCATACATCCCGCCGTCCCCGCCAGGCACCTATCTCTCCTACATCCTCCGGCAGCTTGGCTTCTCCGTATTCGAGGCCAACCTCCTCGCCATCCCGTCGCAGTTCCTCTTCGCCGTCAACCTCCTTATCATCACCTGGGTCTCCAAGCGACTCGGCGAGCGGGCCATTGTCTCGTCCTCGTCCAACATTTGGATCTTCCCGTGGCTGCTAGCCCTCGTCCTGCTGCCGGCCACCGCCTCGCCGTGGACACGCTACGCGCTCCTGACCGGCCTGCTGTCGTACCCGTACTGCCATGCTATCCTCGTGGCGTGGAACGCGCGCAACAGCAACGCCGTGCGCACCCGCGCCGTGTCGGCGGCGCTATACAACATGTTTGTGCAGAGCGGCAATATCATTGCCAGCAACATCTACCGCGATGACGATCAGCCGCTCTATCGTCGCGGTAACAAGATCCTCTTGGGCCTAGTGTGTTTTAATATCGTGCTGTTTTATCTGGTCAAGGCATTTTATATCTGGCGCAATCGGGTCCGGGATAGGAAATGGAATGCCATGTCGCCGCAGGAACAGGAAGACTACGCCGTGAACTCCAAGGATGAGGGTCTGAAGAGGTTGGACTTCCGCTTTGCCCATTAGAAGACGGGGTTCGGCTCCGAGGCAGATAGCGTGATGAGATGGGGCCTGTCGACGCCGAGCGTGGGTCGGGTACATACCTATGTGTACACAGCAAAGTGTTATCGACAAGAAATTTGATCCTCTCATCCCATTACATTGCCTTTGTAGTTCGTACCTAAGTCACCTAGCTAGGTACCAAACTGTTTCCCGCCACGTGGCCGCCAGAACGGTTCTCTTCCCCCCCAGTTCGCTTCGTGTTCGGTCTCCGATACGGATCAACCGACTTTCCTATCACGTCACTACCTGCGAACGGAGCCGGAGCCGCAGTGAAGCTGACCACTGGCACGACCGAACCTCCCACCACCACCTCCGCAGGTGCCCGCATACTACTGTCCAAACACCGCTCAAACTCCCCATGCATCCACCTCGTCCTAATCACCACCGACTTCTCCGCGTCCACCCCACCCGACCCCGACGCCCCCCACAGCGGCGAGTTAGCCAACCAGTCGCGCGCGCAGCGCTTGCTGTCGAAGACGAGGGCCAGGGCGCCTCCCTCGGTCACGTAGGTGGACAGGCCGATATGTATGCGGTCAACGTTTTTGGAGAGCTTCAAGCTTACGGTGTAATCGTCGTCCAGGAGCGCGCGGCAGTCGGCGTGGTAGGGGCGGCTTTCGAGATGGGTGAGGAGGAGGCTGGCCCAGGTGCCGTGCGGGAAGATGATGGTCAGGATGCGGTCGAAGTCTATGTCGATTTTGAGATGGTGCGTTTGTTGAGGGCAGGAGGGGGTGGCCATTTCCAGGGGGGGTTCTGAGTTCAGGTTGTGTTGGTTTCTAAGGTAGGTAGGTTTAGGGGAGTTGATTCCGCTGGAAATGCTATGCCCGAGGAAGGCTTTGGATATAGCTGGATTTGGTGGGGATGATTCATAAAGGAGGTGTTGAACTACGAGGCTCGGTAATATAGTTACTCGTGGGTATCTCTGCTTCGCCACTTTATTGCTTGGGGCTGAGCTGTCTAACATCGGATCAACGTCTTTATGGCCAGCCTCACCCCCCGCATTTTACCCCTGTGGTCCCCCTCCTCTTTTAGCCGCACTGTTCGTTGCATCGCGAGGACCGCCGTTTCTACCGCCGCTGTTGTTGTTGTTTCGTAATTCCTAGTGTATAAGTGCATCGCTAAGTGTTGGGGAAGACAAACTGCTGTTCTGCCATTCCTCTTCACCTCACCTTCTGATATCAGGAATGCCGCCCGGAAACCCCGACCTAGACCTGGAAAGGGGCCTTATGGAAGGAAACAAAGGGCCAGCCAGGCTGAAGGCACGTAAAATCCACTTTCCATCATGCCTACATGAAAAGCATTGCTATGCTAACAAATATCATGTAATTACAGTCGTGGCTAGCAACGAAAGGGACACGAGCGTTGGGCCGCCAGAAGAGCGGCCGCCGCCCGCCAAATGCGCAACTCCTCCAGACTTGAGGCCAGGAACACCAATACCCCCTCCGTCCACGCACCCCAACTATGCGAGATCCGCATACTCATCCCAGCCAGTAAATCCGGTCCCTCACCACCACAGAAGCCCTCGAGCTTTCCCATCCCGTCCGACAAGACCGGTACGCAGGTCAAGACGAGCACCGAGCACGTCAAGCTCCCGCGCCTCTAGCAATACACCCGGTTCACCCCGTCGACGATCCCTCAGCTCGACGAACCGCCCGGTGGAGGGCCGCACCACCCCATCTAATGGCCCACCCCCATCAGAGAAGTTCCCTGCAGCCGCAGTAAACGGCTATGGGTCGGTAGCCTTGCATCCCCGCGATGCGGAGAATCAGGGGAAGTGGGCGGTGGAGCACCACCACGCCGGGCTCGTCCATGAGATTGTGGGCGCGCGGAAGCAGTCCAAGCAAAAGCTGAAAAGGTTGCTTGGGATCACGGAGCCGGCTGCTCCGGGGCAGAGGATATTTCGAGTCAGTTTTGCGGAAATGCAGAGATTAAAGCTGCAGAAGTTGCAAGTCAAGTTGGTGGATCATGCTATCGATATGTTTGCGTCGAAGCAGCAATCGCCTGGGTGGGAAGAGGATCCTGCGCGTTACAGTCAGTGTTGCTGAAGGAGTCTCCGTTTACAGCTGGGCGTGACTAATGGAGTGGCGATAGCCCAGGCCTTGAAGGACTACGATTACATGCTGGAGGCGAGAAAGTTGCCGCAAGACTACTTCTACGCCACCAAAAAGCGTGCCGTGGACCGGTACGTTATCAGGCGGCTGGTCGGTGACCTTGACAGTCTCGGAGACCAGACCGACAAGGTGGCCCCCGTCGAGCGATGGGATGACGAAAACATGACGATTGGGGGGGACTCGCAATAGGAACGTCAGGAAGTCACGCATGAAGGCCTTCCTAGACCGCTTGTCACTAGCCGCGACTGGGGGCTCCCTGCTCGTGGGACCAATGTGGTTGATGATGCTGCGTGATGATCTCTACACTACACTTATTACTACCACTGTTTCTGTGGCCTTCTTTGCATTTTTAGCATCTTGGCGGCTGAACAAGTTGGACCAGGTATTGCAGGCAACCGCGGCGTATGCTGCTGTGCTTGTGGTCTTTGTTGGATTGACAAACTCGAGTTCATAGGGAAGAATGTGTGTTGAGCTCTTGCGAAGGGTTCGATGATGGGATTGTAGATTTGCAATTTTTCTTGTTATGAACTTTCCAGAATGTCCCTTAACGGCTAGCCATCTACCTACTAGTTGTATGATACATGGACTGTATTTCCTAGGTAGTTGTGCCCACCTTGCTCGGAAATGGATCATCCCACATAGGGCTGACCAGTTCACTCCCACCGCACATGTACAGGAGAGCAGGTACCTGGTTCGCCGCAAACCCCATTGGGTGAGTTGAAACCATCAATCATTCGTGCGAGAATTCAAGGTTTTCTACCGCTGAGCGAATCATGTGTTTCGACGTCCACCTGGTATTCTGAGCAACCTTCCCAACTTGAGAAGGAACTTCTCTTTTGCCTGAATCCTTCGTCCTGAGTCCTGCATAATGCTGGCCCGAATCGGGAGTAGGGGCTGGAATCACTAAACCAGGGATATATCCAGCACTCAGCCATGGGAGGGAACTCAATCGATTTCTCACGAGGCACAAGCTCATTGCCTAGGTACTATCGGCTGCTTCACATCATAACAACCCGTTCAACTCTCCAACATGGCACCAACACTTTTACACTTGCTCCTCGCCGCCCTAGCCGCTACCACCTCCGCCCTCACCACCCCCCTCCCACGCATCCAAGTAACCCTCACCCCCGAATTCTCCGCCCCTAACACCACCACCACCACCACCACCACCATCACCGCCCTCGACATCACCCTCCACCTCTCCCACCTCCCCCAACCCAACACCACATCCCGACCCCCTCCATCCCACTACCCCCTCCTCCAACTCGACCTCAACCACGGCCTAACCCCCACGCAACAATACAACGACACCTCCCTCTCCGCCTCCGACACCCTCGGCCCCCTGCCCCTCACGCACACTGACAGCAACGCCACCGACGCCCAACGCACCTGGTTCGCCTCGCGCAACCCGCACGGCCCGGTGCTCGTGCAGTTCCGCGCCGTGCCGCGCGTGGTGGACAAGACCACGCCGTCGGGGCCGAGGATCGATCTCATGGGCGGATGAGAGCGGTGAGGGGCTGGTGGGCATGGGGGCGGGGTTTTTGCCGCTGCCGCTGCCGCTGCCGCTGTCGGGGGTTGATGGGGGGGATGGGGAGTGGGAGGTGGTGGTGCAGTGGGTGGTGCCGGAGGGGGTGAGGGTGGCGAGTTCGTTGGGGGATCGGGTGAGGGAGACGGTGGTGGGTGTGCCGGGGCGGATGCTGGCGAAGGCGTATTTTGCGGTGGGGGCGTTGCGGCGGTGGCCCGGGTGGGAGGTGGAGGTGGGGGAGGGGGAGAGGGAATTTTATGTGTATTGGTTGGGGGAGCTGCCGTATGATAGTGAGAGGATGGCGGGGATTGCGAAGGATATGCATGGTGCGATTGCGTCGTTCTTTGGGGACGTGGACACGCCATTCCGTGTGTTTTGGCGGCGCGCGTTGACGGGATATGGGGGCGCTGGGGGGTATAACTCGTTTTTGCTGGAGTTTTCGGATGGCACGGATGAGGAGCAGAGCCAGGAGGCTGCCACTTTTCTGCTGTCCCCATGAAGGTATCCACGAGTATGCGTTAATGTCGCCCGCGCGGCAGTATGACATGTGGTACCGCGAGGGCGTGGCGCAGTTCTATGCCGTCGTGGCCCCGTTCGCGGCCGGTGCTGTTGACAAGAGCTACCTGATCCGGTGGCTCAACAACAATGCCCAGAGCTATTACACTAGTGGAATGGCTGGCAAGACGTGGCAGTCCATTATCGACAACTACTGGACCAGCACCCAAAACGTCAAGGCCCCGTACGGCACCGGCTTTGTGTATCTCGCCCAGGTGCAAGGCTTGATCGCGAAAGCAACCAATGGCACCAAGGACCTCGACGACCTGACGTTGGAGCTCTATCGGCGGTTCGTCGCACACGAAAAGGTGCAGACAGACGAGTTTCTTGAGGTACTAAGCGGGCTAGTTGGGAGTGAAGCCGTCTGAGGCAAGCCTCTCCGCCATGCTAAACGGAACGTTTATCGTGCCGGCTGCTGATAGCTTCGCCAAGTTTGGACTGAAGATGGTAAGGAAAGATGCAGAGTTGTTTGAACTAGGCTTTCTTCCCTCCCAGGTGGAAGGTGGCTAGCTTCACCTCAAACAGGACGAGAGCCGAGGAAGCTGGCCTGCGCGTGGGGGATGAGATAATTCGTATGTGGGGTGAATGGGGTGCCAGTGACTCACTCGACAACATGATGCGGGTGGCTGTTCGCCGTGATGGGAGCGAAGTCAATGTGGACTACTGGCCAAGAAGCTATGAAAAGGTCGAGAATTGGGTGTGGGAGGAGGATGATACTGTGACAAACCAATCTTGAGGGGTGGCTGTTTTTGAACTTGATTTGCGGTTTTGATACAACACTAATCGTTTAGCCCAATCTTCTAAAGTCTACACCGTAACTGACTCCTTATGCGTCTTCTAAATGTACATGTCGTCTGACGCGACCGCTTTATCACTTCCGGTACCACATCCTCGTGAACCTTTGTCCGGCGGCCATCTTCTTTTGCAGCTGGAAGATGCCGTATTGCAATGCCTCAGCCGTAGGCGGGCACCCGGGTACATAAATGTCCACGGGTACGATACGATCAACTCCCCCTAACAACGGAATAGCTGTAGTGATAATAACCACCTCCATTGGCACAACTCCCCATGCTGATGACCCATCTGGGCTCAGGCATCTGGTCATAGACCTGGCGCAGCGCCGGCGCCATCTTGTTAGTAAGCGTACCTGCCACGATCATGACGTCCGACTGGCGCGGACTGGCACGGAAGATAATCCCCTGCCGATCGTTGTCATAACGCGGCATGGAAAGATGCATCATCTCGATGGCGCAGCAAGCAAGACCGAAGGACATGGGCCAGAGGGAGCCTTGCCGAGCCCAGTTGATGAGACCGTCCAGCGTGGATCTACAAGATATCTCGTAAGTGAGGGTCGAGGACAGAGAAGTCTTGCTTACTCACAAGGCATATTCCGTCACAGAGTTTGGTCTTTTCTCGGTGGACACAGCGAGTGTCGGTCGTACAGGGGGCGGAATGCGAGGCTGCCGGGCAGGTGAGGTCTGCTCAGTGCTGTATCGTTTGGCTGGGACAGTGGAAATTGCTGGTAGTAATCCGCTACGAGGCAGTAATGCCGTGTACTTGATGAGTTTATATGGACGCATGGCGTCAACCTCAACCTCCTTGGTCAAGTATGGTATTATATGACAGTACTTTCTCCCTGGCATAAACGAAAAAAAAGAGAAAAAATGCGCCTCGGGTCCAGGTCATAAATATTGCGGCTCATGCCGCCATAAACACCTGGAAGAGAGAGCATCCTGGCCGTGTGCTGACCGCGGCTTTGACTGTATGTTGCTTGCTATTTTGGCAGGCAAAGACAGTGCGCTTGGGCGAGCACCCCTGACTTACACGGGCCCGTGTCTCCCCGAGCCAAGCCATTGTGGGTTTATTCCGACCCATAAAAGCCAAATCCCATCGGCTTTCACCCACTTCTCGGCATCAACCCACACACCCCAAGCCCCCCAACTGCACTTTGTGTGTGCTTCACAATCAAAATGCCGCCGTCCCGGCCCACCGGGTTCGCTTGTACCACGTGCGGTAGGGAATACCAGCACAGTAGCCATCTACGCAGACACGAGGCAACCCGTAGGTCTATCCACACAGAAAGACACCCTCCCGGTAGCTCCCGGATGTTGCCGGCCTTGACACGGCTGACAAGATTGGTTAGACTCGGGGTCCGAGGAGTTCAGGTGCCAGTACTGCGGTAAAACATTCGGCAGGAGGTATTCAGTTCTTCTTCTCCTCCAACTTCTCCACCTTGTGGACGAGTACTTCACTTTTAGCTGCTCCGCCCACTAATACCCGCGTAGGGACGTGTGGCGAAAGCATTATCAGAGTTGTCCAAACAATAAGAGTCACGATGGACCGCCCCCGGTCCAAACGAGGCAAGAGAGCCAAAGCCTGCGACGCTTGCTTTCGCAGCAAACTCGCCTGTGACGGGAGCTCACCGTGTGCTCGGTGCCACTCTCGTGGAATGACCTGCGTCTACACAAGGGTCCACGGCGCCATCACCAACGCTACCACCGACCCACCAGCAGCTGCTCCGAGTACCAGCACTGTACTAAAAACACCCGCTTCTCCACAAGATGACAGCACCAAGATCCCCGTAGCCTTTCTCCTCAGTCTCACCAACCCCAAAGCCGGCTCGATGCTCGAAGCCTTTCTCGGAGAGCCCAGCCGCGGCGACGAGCTCCCCAGCGCCGAACTCCAACCCGACATCCCCCTCCACCCAGACCCCTACCAAAGCACCGCCATCAGCGACGGCTTCTTCCTCACCTGGCTCTTCGACCAACCACACCCCGACGCCACCACCAGCAACACCACGTTCCCCTTTCCCCCCTCCCCCCGACCACACAACCCCCCACCTCACCGTGCCCACCCCCCGGAATTGACCCCACCCTCCAACCGCTCCTCACCGAGATCCGAACCCTGCACCGCACCCTCACCACCACCCCGACCACCACCAACCCCCCCCTACAATGGGACCTACGACGCCGCCCCTCGCCACCCAGGTCTTCACGCGCGCCCACCCGCGACGCCTTCGTGCCCACCTAACTTCCGCCTACACGCACCGGCCACCTGCCGCTCGTGCACCGGCCGAGCTTTCGACCCGAAGAACTTCGCCGGTCCGCCGTTGCCGGTTGGCCGTGTTTTGTTGTGTGGTGCGCTGTATGCCCCGCCGAGGGATTGTGTGCTGGCGGTGAGGGGGTTTTTTGCGGTCGTGGAGGAGTGGGTGTTTAGGCGGTTGGAGGGGTTGGTGGAGGGGGTGGAGGGGGGTGGTGGTGGTGGTGGTATTGGGGAGGATGGGGAGAGGGAGATGGAGTTGTATGGCACGTTTCAGGCCGCGCTGCTGATCCATGGCGCGCAGTTCATCATGAATAATCCGGCGTTGAGAGAGCAGGGCGTGGGCGACCCAGAAAGGCCGGCGCTGGTGGTGGCGGCTCGGAGGCTTGGGTTGACGAGAGGCGCGGCATGCGTGCCATGGTGAGGGAGGCGTGGATTGGGGGCGGTGGGTGAGGGAGGAGACAAGGATTAGGTAGGTTGTTTCTTTTTGGGTCTGTCTTTCTGCGTCTTTCCCACCCCGAGTGGCGTTGCTAACAACGAAAGAATCGTCACTTGGACTTTCATCGGCGACTGGCAACAGGGCGGAGTGACGCACCAGCCCGGGCTTGCGACAATCCACGAGATGACGGGTGACCTGCCCTCGCTGCCGGATCTGTGGGAGGCCAATAATGCTACTGAGTTTGAGGCGGCTATAGCTGCCAACGGACCAAACTGCTGGCGGCGGACGGCATCACTCCGCGATTGTGCTGATGCCTTGATGGCTGAGTCCTGGTCCGGCGTCAAGGGCTTCCCCTTGAAGCACGTCTCCTTGTTGGACCTCTACTTTCTAGTCACAGGTGAGGACCCCCTATTCATCCTCCCTCCACACTAACTCAGACGAGCAGCAATTCAAGTCATGATCGGCGTCTCGCGCCTCGTTTCAGTTCTCCAGACGACGATACCAGCCATCCAACGCGCGACAGATCGATGGCAGGAACTCTGGCAGGAATCTGTGAGTCGCCTTGACGACGAAGAGCTGCGGACGAGCGGTCTTGTCAGGCACTGCGGCGAGTACTGCTGGCTTGCAAGGGCGCTGCTACAGCACGCTCAGGAAGGAAAGGACAGGGCATCACCGTATTACCAGCGGATAGGGCACGAGACGCCAAAGGAGCTTCACGACTTGCTACGGGAACTGCGAGACTACGACACCAGACCAAAATGAACTCTACATGTACCTACTTTAAAACCTGTGACCAATGGTTGACGTACCCACGCTCAATTTGAGAATTGTAAGGAAGCTAATAATCGAATCGAGTTGCTTGTGAGTATGAGTAATTAAGGTCAATACCTAAGGTTGCTCCAATCTAGAAATTGTCTTCTAAGCTAAAAGGTAAACTCTATTATGTACGGATATCCATAGGATAGGTACCCCAACCCGTTACCATTCGCACATGTCCGTATCTACTCAATTCTGCCACCTTCACTGCAACCGCTGGTACGTAAGTACCTTACTTACCGCTTGCCATGTTTTAGGCGAAGTATCTCGGGTTAAAAGGGATACGATCACTTAGACGAACGGATGCGAAGCCTGGAGCCGCCAGTACTTCACCTAATCCGTATCGGCAAAACCCATCCGACAAGGGGATGTTATCTGCCTCCTCCAAGGGGCATCAACGCCGACAATCATTCGGCCGCGCGGCGATTACTGGACCATTATCAGGATTGCGGTTCCCTCCTTGACGGGTTATCCAGGCGCCCCGAATGCCAACTGCCGGTCAGAAAGTCGAGAGCCAAGAACAACGTTTCAAGACGATTTCTTCCTGGTCTGGGACTGGCATGCATCTCAGGGACAGCCCGAAGAGTACGAAAACTTCAGAGCTAGCCGGGACCTCCCTGATCAAAAGACCCAGTCACAAAGAGACCTCGATAGAGCCACGAGATGGTGGATGATGGGACGGATGTTTGAGGCCGCCGAAAGAGGCAAAGCGGGGGCAATGAAGCTGCAGAAGTCAGTAGAAATTGGTGAGATGGCCCTAAGAGATTCGGATAACTTAGGATCGGGTCCTGGAACTTGGGAGCTTGGATAGATCTGCTGCTTGAAGACAGTGGCGGCTGGGTGTCGCTGCTATTTGCGGCGGGGAAGGGGTATAAGGAGGTTGTGCGGTACCTCCTCGACAAAGGTGCGGCCGTTGACGTGGTGGATGGTGATGGCCAGACATCGTTGTCGCTGGCTGCCTCGGCTGGGCATGAGGCAGTTGTACAGCAGCTCCTTGATAACGGCGCGGACGTTGATGTGACATCTTCGTGGCTACAACACCACAACGCGAGCAATAGCCCGTAGCAAGTCTCAGCGGATTGTACGGCTGGAGTTGAAACATTGTATTCTTTCGACATTTTCACCACTTGTCACAACACAGCCTCGGTGCCTAATGTAATTCATCGCTGCTGAAAATTTATTTACGACTCCCCAATCTTTGAACCTGTTTCTCGATCTTCCCAGTGATGACAACTTCTGGGGTAAGGTTGTTTCTTCTGTTTAGTGGCAAAAAGTCAAATAGAAGGATGCCATTGAACTTTCCCCGTTTATTATACAAGGCGACAGATCTGCCAAAAAAAACGTTAATTACCACACTTCAGGGAGCTTTTAAGGAGCCGTCGGGAGATTTATTTTCACTCATGACGATGCCAGCTGAGAGCTTTTGCAGAGACGATCATTAGGGCGGCGAGCCATGTTCAACGGATGCGCCAATAATATTGCTGAGGGTCAAATCATCAGACCCTTTGTTCAACAGAACGGCCGGGCCTCGGGGCCTTACGAACAGGTAGGTCCGGGGCGAGCGGCTACCTAGGTGATCAAAAAAGGGTGAACAGGACGAGAAGGGATATCATAGGCAGTTCAAGCCCAAAGGAGCAGCGCCATATTGATATTCTGCTTAGGTCCCCAAATGTCAGCTAATATGTTCATGAAACATCAAGCCTCGCAATCCAGGTTGTAGTTGTTGGATAAACCCTATATAAACTCGCCCACCAAGTCACCATTAAAGGTCCACACCAATCCCTCCATCGTCCACCTTGTTTCGTCAAAAACAACTCCCCTCAGCCGAGCCATCGAGTAGACGACAAAATCCAATGGAGAAAACAAAGCAACATATGGAGACTGGTGTGGAAAAGCCGAAACCTTGTACCGCCTTGGCACAGGACATCAAGGATCTTACTGCAAACTTGAAAATGATGCTGGAAAATGACAAGGATCAAGGGGATGACTTGAATCTCACCGATGAAAACGAAAGACTCCGCCAAATAATTCAACGTAAAAGCATGATTGTCTCTTGGCTCAATAAGGAGATGCAGAGGGTGAACCGCAGGGTCAACAAGCCGTGTGTAGAGATGAAAGAATGAACAGCCCCAGGAGGCCATGTCAGGGCAAAGGTCTGGTAGCTGATTTCAGCCGCAACAAAAAACCGACAACCGATTAAACCGAGAGGGGCGGTACTGAACGGCTCCTTATCAGGACTGTTTGAAACGGGGAGGTGAGACAAGGAGGATAACGGCTGACAACAGCCGGCAACGCCTCGTATATGATCTCTCACCCCCAAGATAGACCCCTATTTCCTTTTCATCCCAAGCATATCTATACCCATTAGCCGTCCCTTTTCTGTTCGCCGTCATTATCATGATAAATACATGTATCCTTCTTAAGGCCCATATCATAATAACCATCATTACCCAGCCGCGTCCCATTACCCCTCACCCATCATCACTTCATCCACCTCACTCATCCCGACTATACCTCGAACCCCTCCTCCAACGCTCCCCATACCTCAACATCACGACAGGAATCGGCGCCAACAGCAAGCTCAGCCCAGCCAGGACCGAAAACCCCCAGCCAAACCCCCACCGCTCCACCAACGGCGCGGACGCCAGCGGCAGGAAGGTGCTCATCAGGCAGCGCGTGACGATGATGCCGGTCATGGCGGAGGCAGAGAACAGGCCAAACGCGTCGACGACGTAGGCCATGACGGGGATGGTGGCGAGCATGAGGGCCGTGCCCATGGCGCACACGCAAAAGAGCAACAGCACGAGCGGCAGCCGCAAGTGTGCCGCCCACCCGTATGCTGCGACTGTCATGGGTAAAGCGAACCCGCCTATGATGGCTAGTGGGAGCCGGAACTCGGGCTTGCCTACGCCTTTGTGGGTGAAGCGCATGCGCATGTAGATGCGGTCGAGCGTGCGGTTGCAGATGATTACGCTGATGGTGGAGCCGATGGCTGTGGGGCTTGGGTTAGTGGTTTGTTGAGATGGTCGAAGGGGATGTGATGGGAGGGGCTTACAGAAGATGGTAAAGCAGGAGCCCACGGCCACGGGCGACAGCTTGTAGAGGTCGATCAGGATATCCGAAATGGTGGTGCTGTAGATGTAAAAGAAAGCAAAGACGACTGAGTTGAACAAGCTCATGACCATGAGAACCCCACTGCCGCACAGCACAATGGCCGGGCGCAGAATTGCATCCCGCAGTTTCTTCCACTCAGAAAACCCCGCGGTGCTGAGCCTCTCCGCCTCGTCAAACGCAGTCTTGAACGTCTTGCCCGACCCCTCGGGATGGCGTGCCATCCTCTTGACGCGCTTCCGGAGAATCGCAACCTTGTACGTCTCGCGGAAGCAGCACAAAAACATAACCTCACAGCCCGCCGCCAACGCCACTGCCATCCACACCACCGTCCTCCACCCATACAATTCCGCCACGGCACTCCCAATCATCGGCCCAAACGCGCCCCCCACCAACGGCGCCAGAAACAACAAGCTCAACGCCCCCCCACGCTCCTCACTCGGAAACATATCCCCCACAATGGCCGGGTTGAGCACGTTCCCGGCGACAGCCAAACCATTCAGCATGCGGGCGACCACAAACTGCGGCACGCTCTCGGCGGTGGCGGCCAGCACGCCCGCCGCAATGAAGAGCAGGTTGGCCACGTTCATGACGGGGTACCGGCCGAACATTTCGGACAGCGGCGCGATTAGCAGCGGGCCGGCGGCTTCGCCCAGCTCCCAGATAGTGACGAGGAGCACGCTGGCGGATTTGGAGGGGTTGGGGGAGGCGGAGAGGTCGCGCACGATCTCGGAGGCGAGGGGGACCACGCCGATGCAGGTCATGGTGCTGCGTGGGGAGGTAAGTAAGGGGGTGTAAATAGGGGGGGGCGGTGGGTGAAGAGGATGAAGATATAAAAAAGGGGAACGTACACAGTAAAGGCCGTAAAGGCCAGTATGCTCACAATAACCCATCGGTAGGGTGCGGGCCAGTCCAGCGGGTTCTCTGCATCACCATCGGGGTCGAAGTCGACGATGGTGGTCTGGGCGATGTCGGAGCCATCTTGTTGCAGTGGCGGGGCAACAGGGTTGGTGTAGACTTGCTGCCCCTCGTTGGTGACACTTCGCAGCAGCGGCTGGGTTTCGTCTGTTCCGACCGTCATTCCCTTTTTTGGTGGGAGGGTGTTTCTTCTACCGGTTTTCCCACGGTTCCAGCCTCCAACTTTCGTACAAGAAGGTAAAAGAGATAATTTGTTGTGTGGATGAGATGAGATAAAAGAGCGCGGGGACTACTTGAACATTTTGTATTTATGCTGACTCTGCAAGCGCTGCGGTGTGCAGCGGCCAAAAAAACTCCGTGGTGCGGTTGCATGGAAGGAGCCGCTGCCGTGCGTTGCTAGCTCCGGGCTTGTGGTCTTGGCTGGGCACTGGAATCCGATGTTTCCAGAAATTCAAACACTGTATTTCAAATCACTGCAGCAGGTCACAATGGGCCCCTTATACTGTCATTTAGCGCTGTGGCTCACTGTAACTGCATCTTCCACCTTGCACAAGCACCGTCAGACACACCGTGTGGCGAAGCGGGGTCTCATTCGGGACTGCCATCCGACCGCCACTGCAGCAGCCGATCCCCGCTTCGTGTCAAAATCCTGCAGGCGCTTCCATGCTCTGGCGTGGGAGCGTGGGCATCAGCAATTGACATCCGCGCCCTTCGGATAACAGCGGCATTCATAATCGAAACCAGCGGAAATATGGTGAAATGGTGGCAAATATGAAATTGAGTCTGGCAATAATCAATCTCTCGGTTCTTGGCCCCTCATTTTCTGCCATTAGCAGTCATTTTTTGCTCCTAAAAGGGCCCGTTCTGTGTCTTCGCACAAAAAAGTCTAGAGCCAGTGAGTGGTCGCGAGAGAAGATGCCCCACTTTCTAAACAATAATGAAGACCAAGCTGGCTGTTGTTATTGGGAGGTCGAAAACGTGTCTCCATCTGGTAATTTAGATAGATGATTTGTTTTAGTGCAGGTTGATAACTCGGTGAAACTCGAGTCCCTAATTTCTTATCATCATGAAGGTATCTATGTTTTCCTCGCTCCTCTTCTCAACTCCATCGTGGACCGTGGTTTGGTGTAACGCCAGTCCAACACCACCCGTTGTGACACAAGTGCGATTCTCTTAGCCAGCCAATCGCATTTGCGGCCCTGGTCCAGCTGTGGTTTGGTCTCACCGCGCCCCCTGAATTCGAGGGCTTCCGTACTACGCCGACTGCCGCTTGGGCGTCATGTATCTCTCCGTTCCCGAGCGCTGCCCGAGTATGTTAGGTACGGACGTATCGTCGGAAGGGAATGCGGCTGGAAAGTGCGCTTTGAATAACGTAAGTGATGCTGTGCGACGCTCTCGGCAGAGACAGGCAAGGCAGACACGCAGTCCGCCTGCAGGATGAGAGTCTTGTGGCGTTTTCTACCCGACCGAGATGAGGGACCGGGCCGAACCTAAGCAGTTGGGGCCATGCCGCACTCTTGTGACGGGCACTGCACAGCAGCACAGCAGCACACCCAGTTCAAATAACCCCACTCTCTTGAAGCGATTTACCCATTTCGTTTCTCCCTCCCACACCCATCGTTCTCGCTCCCACACCAACGGAACCATGGCTGAGGATCTGACCCCCCATCGCACGATCCCAAACGACTACAATTCCTATCACCCCCTCCGTTCGGAGCACCACGAGATCCGACTCCTCCGTGTTCTCCCAGGCGGCGACGATGACGAGCTCGCTGTGGTCTTGGTGCGGAGCAACCGTTCCAACCACCCCGAATATCGCGCACTATCGTATTGCTGGGGGAGTCTCAACGAGCTCGCCCCGGTTACTGTCGTGTTTGAGGACGACCGCGACGTGGATTCTTCGAGCATCCTTGATGTTGACGAGCCCTGCGGCGTCCTGGGGCCTCGCGCTGTCACCTTTCAGATCACCACCAACCTCCACGATGCACTCGCCTCGTTCCGCCGCACTCGGGAGCATGGTTACCTCTGGATCGATATGCTCTGTATCAACCAAGGCGACGTTGAGAGCGGTCGGGGCAGGTCCGCTTCATGAAATCCATCTTTGGATCGGCCGCGTCGGTTGTCGCCTGGCTGGGGGCCGATCCGGAGCTGCAGAAAAGCGTATTCAACCCAGAGAACTACGAGATCGCGCTGACGAACCTATTGCTAGAGGAGGGGGGATGGCCTTCGCTACAAGAATTCATGTCGTTCTTGGCCACGAAGGAGAAGTGGTCACCACCGCAAGGAAAGATTCATGCATTCGCCGCCCTCCTAGCGGAAGCCCAGCTGGTATTCGACAAATATCCCATCGCCTACTCGATAGTACATATAGGCTGACCGGGAAACAGCTGGCCGATAGGCAACTGGCCGGGAGAAAGTTGGCCGGGAGAAAGCTGGCAAGATTCCTTCCTAGGTAAAGAGAGGCTCCGACGGTTCTATGACTTCCTCTCAAACCCGAGACTGCACGTCAGTGTCGAGGACGCACCTCCTGGCTTCGACCATGCTCTTCACACCTACCGCTCCCGTATCGCAACTTCTAGTTCCGAGGTATGGGACTGGTCCACAACCGTTTTGACGCGCGGGAAGTGGATGGTAGCAGCCCTCCCTCGCGACATGTTCCGCCGAATGGCAGTCATAGCCAAAGCGCCATGGTTTCGACGCGTATGGGTAATCCAGGAAGTAGCAGCTGCGAACCGGGTCCGTGTTCGGGTGGCCGACGCGGAGGGAAGCTGGGAGATCATACGCTCTCTAAGAAATTTTGTCAGTGAACTGTTCGCTCGGATCGTGGCGGAAGAGCCCACAGCCCTTGCGAGTCTCGACTTTGGCGGTCACGACCTGATCCCTGCGCTCTGGCAAGATCTGGTCACTTGGCAGGATGCGAATACCATGACGATTGTGAAACTTGTCGAAGCCCTGCGTACATTTTTCGCAACGGACCCACGGGATCTGGTCAATTAGCTATCCGGTATTGCGACGGACCTCCAACCCAGGTTGTTCGAACCCGACTATAGGATGCCGGTCGGGAAACCTATGCTAGATTCACTTCATCTGTCATACGCTCGACCGGCCATCTCGACATTCTTTCTATGGCCAAGTTCTATACTCGGCCCGAAAGACCTGCCGGGCTACCTGGCTGGACTCCGGACTTTAGTTATCGCCCCCCCAAGGACTGGGATCCAATGTATAATAGGGGACGATGGGATCAGCCGTTTGGGCGTACACTAGCCCGTATGAAGGACACGAATAGCTGGAAAACCCTTCAGGTCGCGGGCATTTACGAGGCAAGAGTGGCAACGATTATAGATGCACAGGTCGTCGTTGATTCCAGGGATGGCAAAGGGCTCGATTCCAAGAAGCTTCGCGATGTGCCGCTCCAAAGCCTCTGGGCTTGCGTGAACGAAGCTTACGCCAAAACGTTCCTAGCCCGGGGTCGAAATGATCACCAACCCGCCCGCCCCTCAAGCCTGACGTTAACGTAATTTTGCGAGGCCTTGTTCCCTTCGCCCGACAGATCCCAATTCCGAAACGAATTGGCCCAAAAGCTGCGGCAGAATAAGCATGAACAGACGGAGCTTATTTCTTGGGGCCACACCAAAATTCAGATGATATTTGCAGTAAGCGGCATGTCTTTCTTCTTTACCGACGATGGTAACCTTGGGCTTTGCTCCCAGGGGACGCAGTGTGGAGACTTGGTTGTAGCACTCTATGGCCTCTTCCACCTTGTGGTGGTCAGGGCGCTGGAAGAGAGAGCGCCCCAAGGGGCCCGGTATCAGTTCGTTGGGAGATGTCGGGTCAGTGGGGCTGCGTGCGACAAGATTATGAGGCTTTCTAACGATGGAGATGCTGGCTCGGCGAACACGACTGAAGAAGGTGTGCTCAGGGACAGGGCACTGAAATCGGAGTTCTTGAATCTCGAATAACGATGCGAGGAAAGGACCTGTATATGCTCGTTAACTAGAGCCATATTATTTTATACGCTCATTCATACCAACCGAGGCTATCCAACACGAGAAAGCCGCGACGATCGAGGCCTAGACTATCAAGAAAGCTATTCCAAATTCTGTGGTGGACTACTTGCAACTAATTGCCTTCTAGTAACTCCGCCGAGCATACCACTTCAACGGGAACTTAGCTTCCCACTGCTCCTAAAGGCCCACCACCCCAATCCGCAAGAAATGGTACTCCTCCTTCAATCTCTTGCCAACCTCGCCATTCTTCATCTCATCAACATCCCACCAAACCGGAATGAATCTACCATGAAGGAAGCGGGCCTCCTCGCTCGCACAGTACACCGCAAACTGGCCGGCCAGGTTCTCTGCCAGCACGTCAGCACACCGCACACCGCACATCCGGCACCACTCTGATAAACTCACCATCATCCCAGTCCATATAGTCCTCGCTAAAGCCCACAGTTCGAGCTGCCGGGGTCAAGACACCACCCGGGTGGAAGTTGATGACCTGCATGTCTTTCGGGTCGGCGTCGTCGGCGATGAGCTGCATAAGCAGCGAGCCCGAGTTCTTGGTCAAGCCGTAGATGGGGTGGCCGTTGCGGTCTATGATAAAATTGTGGATGCTGCTGGTCGAGACGTTGACGAGGAACTGACGGACCGTTAGCCTCGGATTTTCATAGTAAGAACGCCCTGAGAGGGTCGAGATGGATATCAGCTTACCTTCCCCTCCTGCTTGCCCTGCTTGCTGAACCGCTGGGAGTAGTCCAGCAGTCCGCGGACGTTGGTCTCGAACGACTTCCAGGTGCCCTCCAGGTTAGTCTGCACGAGTGGGCCGCCCTCGCTGACGGTCATGGCATTGAGAACAAGGACATCGACCTCGATCCCTTGTTTGGCGAATCCATCCCACAGCCTCTCGGTGGCTTGCAGGTCGGAGAGATCAGCCACGAAGCTGCTGACGGTCGTGCCGGCGTTGGCCTCGGCTTGGAGCTCGGACACGGCGCTGGCGAGCACAGACTCGCGCCGGCCGGTGAGAATGACGTGCGAAGCCGAGGCTTGCACGAAGGCGCGGGCGATGGCGAAGCCAATTCCGGCCGAGCCTCCTACAATAATCACGGTTCTGCCGGCCTGGCTGAGTTCGGGTCGGAGGGGTGAGATGGCTGGGTAGGGCTTCTTGTGCGTGGCCTTGATGTAAGGGACGTCCAACGTGATGCTGCTGCGAGACATTGTGTGTTTGTAAATTGAGATGTGACTCGTGAATTGTGATGTGAGACTTGTTAACTGCGTGGTGGACTTGTAAGCGCTTGGGGTGCGGTTGTTGAGAAAAGATGGCCGGAAGAAGAGCAGATCAAGCTTCCTTTATATCAAAACCATCACGTCCATCTTCCCCTACCCTTCTCCCGCCGTATATAGAGCTTACATTTGTCACAGTAGCGGATTGAGTCCGTAAAGCTATCCTGCGGCCGCAACTTTCCCTTCTGGGACGATCTCCCGCAGCTTGGTTGTCCGTCGCCCGCAGGCTAACCGAAAAGGGGGCCCGTGGGGGGGTGGATAATGCCCAAATGGGAAGATTTTACCCGCTGGGTCTTAATAATCCCATCTTCGACGACGCCAGGCTGCCTTCTCATCTTTGACATCCTGTCCGTACCACAACATGGGCACCACAAGCAAAAGCATACCAAACAAAACCTCATTCCCCACGCGTATGCGGCGGCAATGCAGGACATGCGTCCAATGCGCCAAGGCGAAGCGGAAATGCGACCAAAGAAGCCCCGCCTGCTTGCGTTGCCGGGGGAAAGGCCTTGACTGCAGCTATCCGCCGCAACGCAACGCCCTCATTCCTCTCGGGGAGCACGAGTCTATGCTTGAGATGATTGATATTTCCCCGGAAAGGGGGGAAAGCCGTACTTGTTCGGCGGTCACATCTGTGTCGAGGCCACAGACACCAAATCACCCCACCGAGATCGCCGTGTCCCATCCGGATAGAAAGACCGCCAACTGTGGCTGGTTTCTCACCCCGGAGTCTTGGACACGGTACCACGGGCTAAGCGAACCCCAGCCTGACTTGACTGCTAGCCAAAGGTCACTGCCCCACTTCATCGACAAGCTGAAAGCATGGATGGCCGCTTGGGTAGCGGATGGACATTGCCCCATTCTGCACCAACAGCTCTACCAGGACGGGATGCCAGAGTGTGTCGAAGACGCCTACACGGCTCTCGCCGCCTACAACGCAGCCTCTCCCAGCGGCAAACCGAGAGTCCTACAAATCATCCAAAACCGTGTCGATAAGCTGCTCACCCAGTACCCCCAACCCGACCTCGCCACTCTCGACGGCATCTCCCCCGCCTGCCTGCTCGACACGCCCACCCACCTCGCGCGCACGCAGGCACTCTTCACCTACGAGCTGATCACCCTCTTCGACGGCGACATCCGCGCGCGCGTCGAAGCCGAGCGCCACGCCACCACCCTCATCCTCTGGTGCCGCCAGCTGCTCGAGAGCGCCCAGCTCGACTGCGCAGCCGCACCCATGCTCTCCCCCGCCGCCGTCACCCCAACACAAACGGAAACCCTTCCCCCTCACCCCACCTCTCCCCTCTCGCCCTAACCCAACACCAACCACCCAACCCCCTCCCACTACTACCACCCCCCACTCCCCCAACCCTCTGGCAAACCTGGATCCCCTTCCGAGTCTGCCCGGCCGCCTCTACTCGCCGCGACCTGCATGCTGG